TACTCACTCATAATTGGTTTCTAGAGATAAATAAAGGTCAGTGAGTCTATAATTTGATCTCCTAAAGAAGCTAAATAAGAAGGTGATCCCAAAGAAAAACATATAGCTATCCTCCTGATTATGGGAAGTAGACAAGATTGCCGGGCAAAAAATGGGATCTTGGGGGAGGGGGGGAGGGAGGTAAGGGGAGATGGGGAGAGAAATGTGAGAAGGGGAGGTTGGGGGGAACTTGGGAAACGGGATGTTTGGGATAAAGGAAGGTTGGATAGGGGAGCAGGGAAGCACACATGTTAATTAAGGGAGCCATCTTAGGGTTGGCAAGAGATTTGGTGCTCCCAGGTGCTCAGCCATTGGTCTTATTTGCAAAGAGGGAAGTAGTGAGTATCGAATGCCAACACTGAGTTTATACTGATTTTTCCTGGGTGAGATTAGCATTGAGGCTCCAAGAACTATATATCTTACCATGCTTTAGTTAGAAACTGTGCCTATTTCTTTTATTTCATGTAATTGAAGTTGATTTGTGAAAGCTACATTTCCTACTGGGCTAGGATAATGTGAAGTGTCACTGCCTAACGGTATTTACCTTTTCTTCATTGCAGAAAACTTTGGCACTTACCGTAACCCAACTTTTACATGTAATTCGGTTTCTACATGAAACTGGAATTCATCCAGAATGCTTGATAAAAACTATTGAGATGCTTTTTGTGTGTTGGTAACTACTGTCTGTCTACCATTACTGTGAGCCCCAAAGAGTTCTTTCTCCTTCTTTGGGGAATGAGAATGGGTTGGACCAAGGTGGTACCAGCAGCTAGAGGCCCAATTTGGATTTAGAATTGTAATGTCAGGAATTTCTGTTAGATCGTGGGGGGGGGGGGGTTGAAGTGTGTGGATCAAGGTTGTGCTTTAGAAATTGAGTGGACCATGGCATCAAGTCTGAATGCCCATAGAGAGATGGTGCCCCTTACGAAGGCATTGACATTCCAGGTAACAACTGCTTGTCCCTTTACCCTCCTGCAGCTACCACCTACAATTGTCCTCATATGACTCTGGGAACTGCAGCCTCTGCTGTCTTGAAAACTCTACTGTTGCATATTTCGCTTGAACATTCAGCATTTACTATCTTATCGATATAATTTTATGTTCGTTAACTAGCATATGAGTAATTGACTTCAAGTAAAGATACCCGTTTCCATGGTGAAGTTTCAATATGATATTTATAGAGAAGAATCTTGCTATCTTCTCAATATTGAAGTAACGTCTACTGTAATTACCTACTGCAGTAAGAATAAGCACCAAGTGACTTATGAATAATAAACCTTTTAAGAGCATGTCACTGAAGTTCACCTTTAGAAAGGTGCCTGAGCACTCAGTTCTCTCTGTCATTGTCTACATACATGAGGATATATGCTATGCTGGATCCAAATTCAATGAGTTCCAAACAGTATGGCTTTGAATGTGGATACAACCTTTAAGATACAGTTATGTGAAATAGGATGGCTTTTGACCTCTCTTTTCTGCTGTCTTGAAATGACAGAGTACGCTTCCTGATGGGTGGTCGGCATGGAGAATTTAAGTTTCTGCCTCCCTCTGGCTATGCCCCTTGCTATGAAGCCCTACTGCCAAAGGAGAAAATGAGATTGGAGCCTGTCAAAGAATATAAACGTGATGCAGATGGTGTCAGGGATCTGTTGGGTACCACTCAGTTCCTCTCCCAAGCCTCTTTCATCCCTTGTCCCATAGACACCAGTCAGGTAAGTCCAAATTACAAATGACAGGCAATCTCAGTGAACATACTGAGGGTGTGCCCCCCACCTAAGGCACTGTACTGAAGAGTGCAGATAAATAGCCAATATTCTTGGAAAATTCATATCCAAGTTGAATATATAAGAAACAAATAAGTTATTTTTTTAAAGGTCAAATGTAATAAATGCAGAAGGAACCGTGTACATGTCCTTTAGGGTGGGATGTTTATAAGAGTCTGTGAGAACGGATGGGATTCCATCTGGACCTTTACAAAGCTCAAGCGGAAAGGGGCACTGGGCAGTGGGATATAACAGCATCGGAGGAGGTGACATAACAGCAATGGGATGAATAAGGGCTTGGAGTAGAAACATAGAGTCGGGACAGGTACCAATGTCAGGTCTCACACGGATGGACAGTTGTGAGAAGAACATGGATATAGCAAGTTGGAAATAGAGAGGAAATGACCCTACAGGAGTGGTTGGAGAATGGGTACTTTCCACATTCCTGTGGTAGGATAGAGCTTGCAGAAGCTTTCAGAGACTTCATCCACCAGAGCCATCTCTGTTAATGTGTGCATGTTTTTGAATGTGCAGGAGTACTTTGGTGTGAAAGACGTGTGCGTGTGTGTGTGCACATGTGTGCGTGTATGTGTGTCTGTGTGTACGTACGCACGCATGGAGGCCAGAAGAACATCATACTTAGAAAAGTCATCCTCCTTCTTTGAGTCAGAATCTTTCATTGACCTGAAGCTCATCCATTAGGCTAGATTTGCTGACCAAGGAACCCGTGGATCCCTATCGGTGCTGGGATTAAATGAATATGGAACCCTGGCATTTTTAATAGATTTGGGGATCGATTTCCAGCCCTTGTTTTTGGCTTTACCAACAGATCCATCTCCCCAACTCCACGAAAGTTTTATAAATCACTATTCTAGATGCTGTAGAGCAGTGGTTCTCAACCTTCCTAATGCTGTGACCCTTTCATACAGTTTCTCATGTATGGTGATCCCCAACCACCATAAAATTATCTTCATTGCTGCTTTATAACTGTAATTTGCTACTGTTATGAATTGTAATGTAAATATTTGATAGGAAGGATATATGATATGCAACACCTGTGAAAGGGTTATTCACATAGTTTGAGAACAACTACTATAAAAGTTAATGAAAAAAGACCTTACTTATAAAGTACTTAGAGCTACCAGTATATATGAATAATTGGTCCTTTCACGTATGTTTCTAGTGCGCATTTCCATAACAGTCATATGACCCTATTACGTTTAGCTTTCAGGTACTTTGATTGATCTTATACTCTCTATGCATCCAAGGCTGGCTTAACACTTAGCAGTCTCCAGCCCCAGCTTCCCATGTTCTGGAATTGCAGCCATACGTCGTCATACCCAACTTATTCATACATGAATGATGAATCTGTATTTTTCCTCCTGTAGTCAGTCATTTTAATTCCCTATAAAATGGAAAACTGCATTTCTCTGCTCCTTCCAAAGCATAACTCAACCTCTGAGGTGCAGAGAAGGGCTTTGCTAGGAATCTGAGGAGCTTGTGAGTTTCAGAACATCCCAGAAACCAGAGAGTCTGGTTAGTGTGTGTTCTGGGTGTAACAGAAAGCAATGACATCTTGAAATTTGCATGCAAATGAATAGGACTAGAAAAAAAATCCTGAGTGAGGTAACCCAGACTCAGAAAGATGAACGTGGTATGTATGTATACATTCATTCATAAGTGGATGCTAGCTATAAAGCAAAAGATATTGAGCCTATGGTTCATGATTCTAGAGAAGCTAAGTAACAAGGTGAACTCGAAGAAAAACATACATAAGTCCACCTGGAAAGGGGAAATAGACAAGATTGCCTGACAAAATTGGGAGCATGGGGGTAGGGGGATTAGGGAGGGTGGAAGGGAAAGACTAGTGGAGAAGGGGAGGGGGAAGAGACATGAGGGAATGGGATAGTCAAGATGGAGGAAGGACAGAGATGAGAGCAAAGAAAGATAATTTTGTTTGAGGGAGCCATTATGGGACTAGCAAGAAACCTGACACTAACGAAATTCCTAGGAATTTATAAGTATGACCCCAGTTAAGATCCTAATCAATAGAGGAGAGGCTGCCCAAACTGGCCTTGTTCTGTAGTCAGACTGGTAAATATCTTACATATCACCATAGAAGCTTCATCTAGCAACTGATAGAAACAGAGGCAGAGACCTGCATCAGAGCACTGGACTGAGCTCTCAAAGTCCAGTTGAAGGTGGGAGGAGTGAGAATATGGGCAAAGAGGTCAAGACCATGATGGGTTCACCCATTGAAACAGTTTACCTGAGCTAATGGGAGCTCACCAACTCCAGCTGGACTGGGAAGGAACAAGCATAGGACTAAACTAGTCCCTCTGAATGTGGGTGACAATTACATGGATGGGGCAGACTGCAGAGCCACTGGCAGTGGCACCAGAATTTATCCTTACTTCTTGTACTGGATTTTTGGGGACCTATTCTCTTTGGATGGATACCTTGCTCAGCCTAGATATAATAAGGAGGGCCTTGGACCTTCCCCCCAAAGCAGTGTGCCTTACCATCTCTGAGGAGTGGATGGGAATGGGGGGGGTAGGTGGAGAGAATAGGAGAAGGGGAGAAAGTGGGAACTAAGATTGGTATGTAAAATGAAAAAAAGATAGTTTGTTTTCTTCTTTTGAAAAAAAAAGAAAACCACTATGCAAACAACTAAAAAAAGAAAAGAAAGGAAAGGAGGGAGGGAGGGAGGGAGGGAGGGAGGGAGGGAGGGAGAGAGGAGAGGAGAGGAGAGGAGAGGAGAGGAGAGGAGAGGAGAGGAGAGGAAGAACTTGCCCTTTACCCTCCTGAGTTCTCTAACTAGGGATGTACAAATTAAACTTTGACTAATAGCTTAGCAAGAGAAAAAAGTATATTTTAATTAGTGAAGCATTGAGAAAGAAGATCAGCTCAGAGAGGAAACAATAAACAGGTCCTTAGAAGATGGGAGACATGGTTGTTGTATTTTTTGACAGTATCTATCTGGATATGGTGCTGACATGTCTCTGGTGCCAATGGTCAGTCTTCCCTAGGAAGAAATGGTTGAATTCTTAAGGAGAGTTTTTTGTTTAGAAGAATATGGGAACAGAATACATTTTGTTCAGCAGCAGCTGTTTCCCAGATATCTTCATCTTTAAAATTACATTTATTCCACAGTAACATATTCTGATATTCTGTACTCCTTCACAGATAGGAAGCTGAAGGGACAGAAAGAGAAATGCCTTTTCTGAACACTGAGTTGTTTGTGCCAGTGCAGGTGACAGAGGCCAGCAACCCTCTGGGCTGGCTGCCCCTGCTAACCTGTCAGGGACACAAAATTAATAAGACCAGACTTGCTGGAAGAGGCTGGGTAAAACAGAGTTCAAACAAATGAGAGGCAAATCCAACAATAAGAAGAGTTCTCTAAACATGGGTTCAATGATGAGCATTGATTATTGTCTTGGCAGTACCAGCATCCAGCCAGAAGACACGCTTCCAGGCACTCTGACGAGGAATATTGTCTGTTAGCCATGGTGGATTATCTTGAATAGGTTGAGGTGGGAAAAACCATTCTAAAGAGGGTAGTACCATTCCCTGGGCTGCATAAAGGGGTAAGCCAACTGAGCATAAGTATTCCCCCCCCCTCTCTCTCTCTGTTTCTCTCTGTCTCTGTCTGTCTGTCTCTCTCTCTCCTTCCTGACTGTGGCTGCCACATGGCCAGGCACCCCCTCCAGCTCTTTCTTTCCTGCAGTGATGGATTACACCCTTGCCCACCATGATGTTCTATAACTGAAAACCAAAATGAACTCACTCTCCCCTTAAGTTGCTTTTTGTCAGTGTTTTTAATCACAGCACCCAGAAAAATAGATAATGCAGAATTAAAGATTTGGAAATGAAAGAGGTGTATATGCAAGTCCTGAAGCTTTGATGTCTAGACCCAAAACTGAATTTTTCAGGACTCTGTAAAAAAGGCAATGCTTCTAGCCAATAAGAAAATTCTCTTTAAAGAGATGTATTTTATTACTGTGAATTCTTTGAAGAGATGTGGTTCATTACCATGAATACCTTGTAATTTTTTAGAATCTATCAGTCTGTGAAATTATTGTCAAAAGAGAACTTAAATATAAGATATCAAAAGTCCTCCCTAGGGCACATTAAGAAATACTTTGTAGGTTAAGAATTATCGACTCCATCATTTAATGCTTATCCCAACCAGATTCTTTCCTGCTTACATCCCCAGCCCCTCACTGAGTGCTAGGAGATAGGACGCATTGCCCTAGAGCCAACCTGACACTCCCACGCAGCAATTGTCAAGCCCGTGCTGCTTTGCCCCAAGTTACCAGTTGAAACCAATAAGATTATGATGCGCACTTATTTGTGGAGGTTATTTTCTCCAGCAAGTGTATCGCTCCCTTTCTCTGAAGCATTTTAGTTCCTGAAGCCTGAAAATCCATCTTAGGGCTTTGATCAATGATCGGACATTCAGTTGGACATTCAGACGGCATTTAGTTAGCCAATGAAAGCCATGTGCAGTTAGGACTTGTCTGCTGGTAACCTCTCCTATTGTGTTCTTCATCAAAAACACCGTGCCACTTCCCTAAATGACCTTTTCATAATTTCATTACGATGGTTTTTGAAATGTTTTTAAACTTCTGTTAATCCTTGGGAATTGTATTGAGTTTATATATTTTTCTATAACATTTTCTCTGTGAGCTCCACCTACCCACCTCAACAACTGAAATTCTTTCTGATGGTGGATATTTAGTAATAGAAACCCTAGTTATTATACCAGAGCTGGGGTTAGAGAGCTAAGCACACGGGCTGTCCTGAGCTGGGCAGCTGGGTCCTAGTGCCTGCTAACCTCTGCCAAGCAAGTGTAGGTCCAGGGCAAGCATCTTCCAGGAACCAAAGTAGTGAGAGTCTGCTTTTAATTTGGGTCCCTCATTCCTTAGGCACTGTCAAGCTACAGACGTGGAAATGATAATGACAACAATTTAAAGGAAATGAAATAGAAAGTGGGCCCTGTTTGTGGTCTCTGTGGGGAAATGGGAACAAAATCCAGGAAAGCACAGAGACACTCCCTAGATGTGACCAGCTTACCAAGAAAGGGAGCGAGGGTATTAAATGATAAGTGCTTGAATGGCGTGTGTGTGTGTATGTGTGTGTGTGTGTGTATGTGTGTATGTGTGTGTATGTGTATGTGTGTTGTATGTGTATGTGTGTGTATGTGTGTGTATGTGTGTGTGTGTGTATGTGTGTGTGTGTATATGTGTATGTGTGTGTGTGTGTGCGCGTGCACGCGCGCTCCTGGGCTACAGGGCACACATAGAGATCAGAGAACAGCTTTCTTGAGTTGATTCTCTCCTTCCACTCTGGGATGGGGATGAGATCAAATTCAGGTTTGGGTATTGGAGAGTTCTGATAGCGTTCAGGTTGGACATGTGGAGGCATAGAACTAAAGCAGTGGAATAATTTGAGAAGTTTGGAGGAACTTCTCCAAAGTTTAAGAAGTTTGGAGCTCAGGCCAAGAGCAGAGCAGCCCCTCTGCCTCGTTTGCAATGAATTCAGCCCGGGGGCACCTGAGACTTTAATCCAGTTCATGCCTGTAGTCCCGGTTTTTCTCTTGCTCCTTTCTCTGCAGGTTGTTTTGCCACTTCACCTAGAGAAGATCCGAGACAGGCTGGCTGAAAATATCCACGAGCTTTGGGGAATGAATAAAATCGAACTTGGCTGGACTTTTGGCAAAGTATGTGTTTCCGTGGCCAGACCCAGTGGAGTGTGTGGTACTCGGAGGAAGGGTTCCTTGAACAGGTCACTGAGGATGGGAATCGGTGAAGCAAAAAGCTCCTCTTCCTACAACCTTCCGGCCTAACCTTTGCAATTAGTAGCAGCCTGTTCTCCAGTCAGTCAGCACTGAAGAGACTAGCTTCACACACCTCCCAGCTCACCTCCTAACTCTGGTTTCACACACACACACACACACACACACACACACACACACACACCTCACAATTCTCCCTCTTCCCTTCAGAAAAAGCGGTCTGCTCTGTGTGGGTGGCGGGAGCGGGCTGATTCATCATTTTGAATCTGAAGTTGTTTAACATGGCTTTCAGACGGGTGGCTAAGATTAATGGGGACCAGAGGGGGTTAGGGTGTCTCTTGCACTAGAAGGCATTTTTCAGGGAGAATGTAAATTGACTTTGCTCTGTGATTTGTCTGAGGTCACTTCTGGAAGCAGGAGGATAGGTGAGTTTTACAGCTTCCTGTGACCCGGACATTTTCTAGTCATACATACTCCTGTTAGTTACCGAAAAGGTCCCTGCACTCTAACCGTGTGTGTGTCCATAGCTGCTGCAAAAGTATCCTCATGAGTGATCTCCTCTACGCAGTATGCTTTTGGAGTCTCTCCTTCAGAGAACGCAACACAATTGGACTTTTCAACTGCATTCATTCTTGCAAATATTTTATCACCCTTTCCTACTTCATTAGACTGTTGATTTCCTGGGATGGAGCTATCTGACCTCATTAGTAAGCTCATAAAATCTCGATTAGTACGTTCAAGCATTTATGAAACGACAATTAATGAAGGAGCGAGTGGATGCTTGGGTCCGTGCTGTTCAGTGCAGCAGTCACATATGGCTGCCGAACAGTTGAAAGGTCTCTAGTCAGCATTGTGATGTGCTGTGTGGTGGATCTAAAACTCACACGGCTGAGTAGTACTCTAATATGTATATATTCCATACTTTCTTCATCCATTCTTCAATTGAAGGGCATCTAGGTTGTTTCCAGGTTCTGGCTATTACAAACAATGCTGCTATGAACATAGTAGAGCATATGCTTTTGTTGTATGATAAGGCCTCTCTTGGGTATATTCCCAAGAGTGGTATTGCTGGGTCCATGGGTAGGTTGATCCCGAATTTCCTGAGAAACCTCCACACTGCTTTCCAGAGTGGTTGCACAAGTTTGCATTCCCACCAGCAATGGATGAGTGTACCCCTTTCTCCACAACCTCTCCAGCAAAGGCTATCATTGGTGTTTTTGATTTTAGCCATTCTGGGAGCCTAGGCAGTTTGGATGCTCACCTCACTAGACCTGGATGGAGGTGGGTGGTCCTTGGACTTCCCACAGGACAGGGAACCCTGATTGCTCTTTGGGCTGACGAGGGAGGGGGACTTAATTGGGGGAGGGGGAGGGAAAGGGGAGGTGGCGGTGGGGAAGAGACAGAAATCTTTAATAGATAGATAGATAGATAGATAGATAGATAGATAGATAGATAGATAAATAAATCTCACACGGGATTTTCGTTTGTTTGAGATAGCAGCTCTAGCTGCCCTGAGACTTCTATAGACCTGGCTGGTCTTGTACTCTGAGATCCACCTGCCTCTACCTACTGAGAACTGAGATTAAAGGCATGTGCCACTGTGCCCGGCTTCACACTGGATTTTTAAGACTAGTTTTACACTATTTTATTCTTATTCTTATAAGAAATATATTCCATGTATAGAGCTAAATAAAATACATTGTTAAAGTTAATTTGATCTAGTTATTTTGTTTTTCTAATATGGCTATTAAAATTTTTGAGATTACACATGTGGTCCATACCCATAGTCCTTTTGTGATTATGTGTGTGGTCCATATCTATAGCCATGTTCAGAAGCATGCTGTCCTCCAGTAAAATTATGTTGACATAAATTTTAACAAAATCATGGCTACAACTTACAAGCATGTTCTAAACTGAGACACCTGTGTAGAAATAAATCCACAGAGTTCAAGCCATTGACAGCTTGAGAACCGTGTACAGCCATTCCTGAGAGAGGCACACGTGTTCACTTATCAGCAAGTCGCTGTCTTTGTCTGACTGGTATGCGTGGCCTTGGGCCCTCGAACGATGTTCATTTCTTTCTTCAGAGCAGAGCCAGCTGTCAAAACTTAAATTCTCTTCCTTCTCATGTTGTCACCTAGATACGAGATGACAACAAAAGACAACACCCCTGCCTTGTAGAGTTTTCAAAGCTCCCTGAAACTGAGAAGAACTACAACCTGCAAATGTCAACGGAAACCTTGAAGTGAGTGTTTAATTGAATATGGTCTAGACTGTGAGGGGGGCGATCTGATGCATTGTCGCTAAACTGCAAAGGTGTGTCCCCCTTGTCAGCAAACATGGCACCCTGATAAATCCCAGGCAGTGGTGATTCTTCATGTCACAGAGCCTAGCATGGTGAGGAGCTGACCCACAGTACTATTTAGTATATGTATTGCTCCAGAGACGATTTTGCCATTTGCTGTTTTCTAGAAAGCAGGAGAGGCAGGAGGAAGGAGAGAAATACAATCAAAGGACCAAATGTCATTTGTCATTGATATTAAATCAATTTTTAAAGGTATTTTAAAAATGAAAGAAAATTATGGTTTGATTACTAAAATCCCAAATTCTTATTGATTTTTTAATTGTGCCATGAATCCCATTCACAGTCCAAAAAAAAAAAAAAAAAAAAAAAAACCCTAGATATCCTAATCCACATTGGTACCTCCAATTTTTAATCCACTTTGTGTTTGTTATCTGTTGTTTCTTTGTATTTCCCTGCTCTCTGTCAGGGCAGGACAGTCTAACGTTGGCTTGTTGACATAACAGAGATGTGAACTGCTTTGTCTCACAGGCTCATTCATCCAGCGTCTTTAATTCCAAAGAGTTTTAAGCATCTTGGTACATCAAGTATAGCTCAAGGTGCTATACTGACCTCGCTTAGCAAATATTTACTGGCCTGAAGAGTTGATGTTAGAATCCTGTCTATTCCATGACATCGAGTGCTTGATATAATTCAAAGTGAATTTATAAACTAGAAAATGTCTCCATGTGGGGCAATTAACAAGCTTCTCTTTCATGTTCTTATGCCTGCTCTCATCTAAATCAGAAGTTGGCACATTATGGCCTGTGGGGTAAACAAACCAGCCACCTGTTTCTGTAAATATATTTTCATGGCAATAAAGCTGGGCTCGTTTTTTTGCATTTTATCGGTGGCTACTTTTATTCCGTATTGGCAGAGTTGGGTAGTTGTATATACACAAAACCTTGCTGTCTGTCCCTTTGCAGAAAATGTTGGCCAACTTCTGGTCTAAATGAATTTCTTCTGTCCACTTAACCAGCTCAGACATGGGTTAGAGCTCCTGCAGTTAACGCCAATCTCCTCCTTGTGTTACATTACAGAACCCTGCTGGCCCTGGGGTGCCACATTGCTCACGTTAACCCGTCTGCTGAAGAGGATCTCAAGAGAGTCAAACTGCCCAAAAAGTAGGTAAATTTTCTAATGATTCAAGCTGAGTGTAAAAGATGAGAGGGTGGAGACCTGTGTACAAAGGCAGGGGGCAGATCATATACCTGGTAGCATCTTAGAATATTAGCATCTAAGAATATTCCCCCAGTTACTTAGACGGCACTGAGACCCTCAGGAGAAGCCTACTGTAAGGAAACATTTCAAGATCCCCTCTCTCCTTGTTCCTTCTGCCCATACCTAATAATACTATGCTTAATTTTGAGCTAGGAGGTCTACCGACCTCAAATTGCACTCTCTTTAGTCAATAGGAAGGGCAGTTGGCAAGAGCTTGGAAATGGTTCCTAGTCAATGCAGATATTCACTCCATACCTCTGGTACTGGGCAAACATCTAAGTCCTTCATGGAAGTGGGAATCTGTACCAAGATTCCATTCGCCTCTCTGTATCCACGTGTCCTACTATCTCCCCCACGTCTACACTCAGATGAAGTCACACATTCAGGTACCTGCTCATTGGTACATCTGCTGGCTCATTCACTGTTTCATTCTCTTGCTTCTCAGTGCCAGCCCTGGGTACACACACAGTAAAACACAAGTGTCGTGATAGAACCCAAAACGGTGCCAGTCTTAATCAAATGCTCGCCATCCCCATCCTTCTTCAACTCCCACACTGATGAGTCACTCTTCCACATAGCACCTGGTGTCAAGGAAATCACATCTAAGAGATGGAGAGGCACATTCCTAGCTGAGGGTGCTAGAACCGGGATATAGTGATGTGTGTTGAGTCTGCCAGAAGGAGTTGTTCCTGAGATGGTCGAGACAGGGCCATTTCCTATGACTATAACAGATTCTGTATCTTGTACTATCCAGCGTGTTCTATACAGAATGGGCTTCATTCAGACTATCATGTTCCAGTTCTTGCTCTAGCCTGGGCAGTCCATAGTCCTAAAGCCCTTCAGCATCTATGGACTGATATTCCCACATGGATGTAATTAGCTGCTCTGGGGATAGTTACCCTATTCGTAGTATACCCAACCTCCCCCTTACATGATACACCTACCCGAGTTGTAGTAAGATCTTTCACATTTGCTTGCTATGTCTCAAATTATAGGCACTTGAGGCCGTGACTCCTGAACTGGAGAGCCAACTGCAAAAGTCACTTCAAGCTCACAAATTTTCAGCTGTCTTGGCTTTTTATCTTAACTTCAAGAACAAAAGTTGAGCTTTGTAAGAATGAGTAGCCATTCTGTGCTGTTTTATAAGAAAGCCTTTAGCTCAGCTTTTATCCTTGCCAATCTGGTTTTAACATTTTGTCTTCTGAAGTAGAGTGGAAGGGTTTCTGATAATGTTGCAACAGGCTGAATGCATCTATCATTTGCAGGACCCATAAATAGTTTTCTTAGATATAAAAATGAATTTGTATTGACTCTGTTTTCTTGTGTTATACTTTGAAGTCTATGAGAATATATTAGTTATAAGGCGGTACAATAGCAAATAGAGTTTGCTTTATCTACCAACCAAAGAGGGGAGATTTTATCTGTGCCCTCATTTGCTCACTGAGTATGTGTGTGTATTGTATGTACATTTGATCTTAATAAAATAAAATAAAACTGGTTAATTCAGAGCTTCATTGCTGTTTACAGTACTGAGAGTAAGAACTATGAGTGTTCAGTCATCGATGGGCTGGCTGTATCAACCCCATACCAAAGGTTTGGGGAACATCCCAGAAAAGGGTACAGGAAGAGCTAGAGGGTGGGAAGACATGCTGTGAAATTCTGTTCTGTGGACATTACCTGGTTGTTGCACACATGAACTCAGAGCAGCTGTGGTTATCTGCAGAAGACAGCTATGGTGATCTATCAACAGAACTTCACAAGATCAACAGTAAAAAGAATGTCAACAAGAGGTGGGAGGAGTTCCAGAGACACTAACTCCCACCCAGGAACCATTGGCAGCTGATGGATGCCTGCTAGGGGTGGAGAGTCAATTTTCTTTCAGTGGGGGCTACTGGCAGGTTACCCATGCTTCACTGAATAAGCCCACACCTTTGCAGATATGGGAATTTCTAACTGGACTCAATGCATTCTCTTTTTAAAGGCATTAAACTTGAAGTGAGTTATATTAGAGGAAGCATGGGGGCAATTGGAAGAGGTAATAGGGTATTGATAGAGATATGTTATACATATATGTAATCTTCAGAGGATAAATTTGTAAAAAGCTAGAAAAAGAGAATCGTGTGTAGTCATTCAAAATGTTTATACTTTTGCATTCACTTGTAGCTATATGATGTCCAATGGGTACAAGCCAGCTCCTTTGGATTTATCTGATGTTAAGCTGTTACCACCTCAAGAAATTTTAGTGGATAAGCTTGCAGAGAATGCACACAATGTTTGGGCAAAGGACAGAATAAAACAAGGATGGACCTATGGCATTCAACAGGTGAGGAGTGCTGGGTCAAGCATGCTAGAGAAGTAGATGTGGTCATCTATCAAAATGTCATTCTGCCGTGAAGCATGTGAGATTGGAATATGGGCACTGCTCTTGCCCTCTATCCCTCACACTGTGCTTTGTTTCTTATTTATGGAACCGTGGACCAGCGAAATTTGTAACTGTCACATTGACATTGACTACAGGCATCATTTCAATGTTGCAGAAGTGGATAAAGTTTATCTTTCCTGTAGTTAGAGATTCACCGATAAAGTGCACACACAGGGCGATGTATTTTATCCCACCCTCTGTCTTACTGTTTTTACCATAGAGTCAAGATTTCCTGATACCCTCCAAGGCCAGGGTTTGGAACAAATCAATACCGTGGGCCAGTAGTGTTTCTGGGATAAGATATGAGAACGAATCAACATCATGGGTCAGCAGTAGTTCTGAGATGGCCCCCAAAATAGCTACCACTGAGATCAATTCAAGGGGGAAATAGACCAGAAAAGGAGTGAACCAATTTGCCCAAAAGCCCCCATACACACATACACACACACACACACACACACACACACACACACACACACACACACTTTGGGCCATTGAGCTAAGGATCCTTGGGCAAAACTGGAACTCCTGGCTTGATTTTGAAGCAACCTAACTGCAAAGTTAGGTGTGTGTGACTTCGTAATGAGGAATCCAGCAGAGTTAGCATCAGGATTCATTGCAAGCCACTTGACCCAGCCCTTTCCCTAAACTATTTCCCCCATCTTACTAATCACTAAGGGTTATTATTCAGAAAGTTCACATGAGTTAGCTCATACCTCGGCCTCTATGTTGATTTTTTATCACTAAGACAAAATACCCAACAGAAGCAACTTAGAGAGAAAGAGGGGTAAAGGAGTTGGCTCATGGCCTCAGTTTACAGTCTATCATGGTCGAAGTACATGGCCACAGTAGCTTGGTTGGGGCAGCAGGATCTTATAGCACGTGTTGTTTAGTATCTCCTGGATCAAAAGAAGATGGGGCCATAACCTTTAAACACTTGCCTACCAGTGTCTCTCTTGGACCATCCCAGCCTCATCTCTTCACAAGGCTCCCAAAACAACACCACAAGCTGGAGACCAGATGTTCAAATGCACGAGGCTGTGGGGGATATTTAAGTTTTAGTTTCAAACTAGGAAATCTCCCAAACTTACTTCCGGGAAATCTGGAAGGCAAGAGGAATTCAGCTATTAAAACATGGAGGCCTGGGGATGAGGAGGTTTGGACAGGGCACCATGCAACTTAGTTTGATCAGCTTTTCCTGCAATTGTCATTTCTTTACTCTCATAGTCTCGCCTAAGGAACTGGGGACCACTCCACTGCATGATGGACCTTTTGTGATAGGATGGATCCACTTTGCCTCTGCCTCTCTTCCAGTGTCTGTCTGATGACTTAAGATGCTGATGTGTTGGGGGGCAGGGGTTGACAGTTAAATGGGGCATGAGTTTCCGTAAGGGAATAGCTACACCTTTCCCATCTGTCTTACCTTGGGAACGGAGGGTGCTAACCAGCTTCATGACACTTCATTTTATTTGCCGGCTGGCATTATTAAAGTGTTGTTTTTAATGCTAGCTTTGAGCATTAGTAAGATTTCTCCTTTTACACTCATTTAATCCTGAAGATAAGTGGCAACTACGCACACTGCTAAATCTCAAGCCACGTGGGGAAATCTAATCGATTAATGTGAGCCAGCCGAGAAGTCAGGAGTATGTGAGTAGGATGGGCTGCTTCTGAAACTGAAATATGTTTTCTTGGCACCTTCCCTTTGGCTTCACATAGGATTTGAAGAACAAAAGAAATCCCCGTCTGGTGCCATATGTATTACTGGATGAGCGCACCAAGAAATCAAATAGGGACAGCCTGCGGGAAGCTGTACGGACGTTTGTTGGTTATGGATATAACATCGAGCCATCAGACCAAGAACTAGGTAACGAGCTGTAATCACTCATTCTTGCAGTAGTTTACTAAGTAAGTTCCCTTATAAGGAAATGTTATCTTTAGATAGGGCTAATTTTCACTATTGTAAATAGTGCAGTTCTTAAAATGTGGTATTTTATTCTCACAGAACTTCATACATGAACATAATGTGTTTTCACTATATTTCACCATGCTCCTCCTCCTAACTCTACTTCAGCTCTCACCCTCCCTCCTTCCGACTTTATGTCCTTTTCTGTTTTCTAGCACACTAAGTTCACTTTGTGCTGCCTAGTGGTCTATTTTAGAAGTGGTATTTTGATTTCTGTGAAGCATTATCCCATTGATAGATTTATTAAGCGAAAATGCATACAACGTATTCTGATCCTGATTTTCCCTCCCTTATCCCCTCCCAGATCCTCCCCAGCTCCTTACATCCAACTCAACAGCTTCACCTTCTTTCTCTCTCCCTTTAGGGAAAAAAAAACAGGCAAAAATAAGAAAAATTAAAAAATAAAACAGTAAAAAAAATACAAGCGACACACACAAAAAAAATCCATAAAACACAAAATTGGAAACCATATTATACAAGCAAAAGACCAGTAAGATTTTTTTTAATGCACAAGCAAAATAACATGAAGCAAAAAATATCTTGGATACACCATTGAGTTTGTTTTGTGTCTGCCACCTACTGCTGGGTATGCAGCCTTCCCTTCAGCGTGGTTTATATACCCAGTGAGACTCCATTGGAAAAGACCTAAGTTTTCCTTTGCTAGTGATTACCAATGGGAGGCAGCCTCTTGGTTAGGGATGGGAGCTCCTGTCCAATTCCCCCTCTTAGTGATGGGACCCCATCTGGATTGAACCTGTGCACGCCTCATGACAGATATCTCTACAATGTACATTTCTGTGACCCAGCCCTGGGGCGAATACGTTTTCTCTAAGGTAGCTAAGATTTTCAGGATACCCGCTTACAGACCAAATCACATCTATTTTCTCTCATCCTCCAAAACTTGAATGCCAGATGATGTAGAGGTCATGAAATGACTGTTTCCAGTTAAATTCTATTACTGTCAGAATCACCAGCTTACTCTGGAAGTACCAAGGCCACAGTGGTTCATGAGATGGAATTGGTCCTGGATTCAGAGCTTTTATCCTGCTTACTATGATGCCGAAGAAGGGATTGAACCTCTCTGACCCTCGGTTTTTCCATCCTGACCTTATAAGGTTATTGTGAAGAAACCACTGTGAGGTCATTATTCAGCAAACGGTGGTCGTGTTGTTGTTGTTGTAATGTGCTGGTAATGATGGGTGTCATGGTGTAAACAAAATGCCTTATGGCACGGTGGGAGATCTGTGGCCATCTTTGTCGATGGTTTCAAGTTCTTTGAGGAATGCGTAATTATTAAAAGTCTGTGACCGCTCTTTCCCTCCTCCTTATCTTCTGCTTCTCACAGTAGCTGACCCCACTGTTGAGAAGGTCAGCATAGACAAGATTCGATTTTTCCGGGTAGAGCGGTCATATGCAGTAAAGTCTGGAAAGTGGTACTTTGAATTCGAAGTGGTCACCGGAGGAGATATGCGTGTCGGCTGGGCCAGGCCAGGCTGTCGTCCTGACATTGAACTGGGGGCTGATGACCAAGCCTTTGTGTTTGAAGGCAGCAGGGTGAGTCCACTCAGTAACCACTCTCCATCACTACAAATTTACTTTTCCAGAGTTTTCCTTGGAGGCTGGAATTACTGGGAGTCTGGGTCTTAGGCTTCAGAGAGAATAGCTACCACCATTGGATAATAGACATTGAATAAATATTTCATGGTGATTGCTTCTTTGTTTTTGATTCTGGAAAAGGGGAAGACGATATCCCGCATCCTTTTAGTAATCATTCCCACTTCTACCCTTCCCCCCAAGATGGGTATGCTCCAGAGGTAACCCACTTAACTCTATAAAGCCGATATATTGTGATACTTTCATGTGTTCTAGAACGAAATGTGTTCAATGTCAAGGCTGACTGTGACCCAGTACACTCAGGTCACCTTGTCTCGTGACGCTGTATGTCTCATTTTCATTCGGTTGTAAAATAGACCCCTGCTCCTGACCTTTTTATACACAGCATCTGCCACTAAAAATTAGGAGATCCTGCTGCCGTGGCCATTTCTCCAGATTCTGGGATTCTTGGGCTTCTTTTCTCTTCTTCTTCTCTCAGACTGTGGTCTTGTTTTGCAGGGTCAGCGTTGGCACCAAGGTAGCGGGTATTTTGGACGAACCTGGCAGCCAGGAGATGTGGTTGGGTGTATGATTAACCTGGATGATGCTTCCATGATCTTCACACTGAATGGGGAGCTACTGATCACCAACAAAGGCTCTGAACTTGCCTTCGCTGACTATGAGATTGAGAACGGTAAATCCACCACCCCACCCTCCCTTACCCTATGGGGTTGAAGGAAAACCGAGGCAAGTTGCTGGAGCTCCCCAGCATTCTAGTGAGAGTACACTATCCTTTGCATATTCAAAATTCTGAGAGAGACCGCCATCCTTTATGCTGAAATTTCCTAAGAATCAGACAGATAATGATGATAGTCAGCATGTGCTGGTAAATATAAATTCTGTAGTCAGGCTAATTCCATGCCCTGTGCCTTGACATTTTAAGATTCCCCAGCTTGCTTTTAGTACAATGGAAATGCTAATTGTATAGGGTGGAATGTCCTTGGCAGGAGAGAAAAAAAAATCAGTGGATTAAAGAATTATCCTTTTATTCTGATTTGAATTGTCATTCTGCATGTTTGTGTAATTGAACTTGATGCTTTGATGAGAACCATTGGAACACAAAAGCTAGATTTAGCTGTTCCCTTGAATGAAATATAATTTATTTTGAAATTCAAACACACTGTGAAACCAAAGCAGAGTCACGCTTACGATTGGCCATAGATGGAGGACAATAAGTGCAATGCTTCCCGTGTCGCAAAGGAGCAGTTATAGCTAATTATTTTCCTGTCTGCATGAACAAGATGTACACAGATTGTTGGCATATGAAGAAAGAGCGCTGGACTACAAACTGGCAGACTTGCTTCTTTTAAACTGTACAACTCCTAGGGAGACTGCTTGACCGCTCTGGGCTTTCCATTCTTTGTCTACCAAAAGTAAGGGGACAGATGGAAGAAATTCCATTATTCTTCCGGATATGAAATTCTGACAGTGACATAGCACCGCGATGTGCGCACCCCTGTGCTGTGTGTTGTGCTGCACGCAGCTTCATCAGTTCAGATCGGAAGGCTGCTGCTCTGAGGCTGGTGACAAGAGCCCTCATCACACACCTGCCTCCTTGTGACATCTTAGCCCCTTCGCATCTCGTTCCCCCCGTAAATGACTAGGACTCCCTGTGGCACAGAATATCTGAGAGGTCATGGAAATAGAGTCGGTCTCCAAAACACTAGGGATATGTAACTGCATGAGCAAGAGAATAAAAACATAAAAAGCCATGTTCATGTGATAGAAATGTTCGTTTCTTACAGAGTGTTTTAACTTTATGAAGACGTACCTTATTTTGATTTTTTTAGAGACAGGGTTTCTCTGTAGCTTTGGGGCCTGGAAGATGTACTTTTTACAGGCACCTGTTGTCTTCCATGTGTATGTCCAACTGAACCACTCAAGAGATTTCCAGGAGCCTAATATTTGGGGAAACAGAAAGGTTGCAGCTGAGTCTGTTTTCCTAGCAAAAAGAAATCACTAAATCCAGGTGGAGGTCATAATTCAATGCCTTTTAACAGATTTAAAATCCATTTTGAAGAAGGTCCTGATTAGAGAGCTAAGTGGGAAGATGCGGTATTGGCATCAGAATAAATGGCGACCGTGCAGCCTTGGATACAAATGAGAGGGAACACAGCAGATGACATCAGTGCAGTGTAGGGGGTCCATCCCAGGGTCCCACCATGTGCCGTGTTGTATCGCTGAGTTCAGGAAGCTAACGAGGTGATCCAGGTGTTTCCCCAAAGAAAAAGAGTAGGAAAAGTCTGTAGACCATCACTTTTTTTCCTGGCTTTACTACTGTGTGACCTAGAAGGGGATTATGTATCTACCTGCCTTGGGTTCATGTATAAGAAACATGAGAATCTCGTCTGACCTGCAGTGTTGAGAGCTGTGTGAAGTTTGTATAGCTTTGCATTAAGTATAAAGCCTTGATGTGTAAGGTACATCCCACCTTGCTAAAAATGCAAGAGTCTCAGCCCCACAGCAGACTCATAGCCAGCATCCTGCCCAGAGACTCCGGTGGTTTGTACATACACATATATATCTTACATTCTGAGAAACGGTAGTCTAACACAGGCGCAAAGGCCAGTGGTGGCAGTGCAGAGGAGCTCCCTTCTAATTGTGGACTAAGTAAGATGGAAATAGGGAAGGTGACTAATAATGCAGAACATGAGTTATAAACGGCAAGTGACTAATGCAGAGTGAAAAAACCTCACTCGGGTGGCATCTGCATTGATTGCTGAATAAAGAATCCGGGATGAAATAAGTCGAAGGAGATATGTAACCCCATCAAGATGCAAGGTGGCCAGTGTTGGAGCAGCAGGGAGCTTCAGGAAGGGCTGGAACCATAAGAAGGCAAGGTTTTATATATGGGATGGGTAAATGATAGAGCTGGCAAGGCAAATGAGGTGTAGATCACGGTTTTATGTGTCAAGACTCAGCCTTCTCATGCAAGAAATCCGTGTCTAATCGGAGCCGAACACCTGCCCCTGTACTTCACCTTGTAGAATGTGCACACTACAGTATTTGAGCAGAGAGGTGCTGAGAAAGAGAGAACTGTTTGAGAGTAGCTCGTCTTTCAAAGAGTATCTGTGCTGTGATGAAATAGATGCCTTTATTCTGCGGGGACACGATCTGACCTTCAGAATAACAAATTCTATTATTAGCAAGCTGTCTGATAATAGGCTTGTACTGTAATATGTTTGTGCATTATACTGGAGTATTGTATCTGCTCTAATAATACAGAGACAAGATAATTGGAAGGCCCTTTCAGCTCTGCGATAGCGCAGGAGTTGGTGGAGGGATGGTTGAAAGGAAGCTGATGTGTCATGCTTTAATAACAGCAGCAGCAGCCAGAGGCCAGTGATAATCATACCTCATCTCCTTGTTCAGTGCAAAATGTGGAACGAGGCGGCAAATCTTGCCTGGACTTTCAAGAGAACCATCTGTTGAAACAAAACATATAATGCTTTGTGATCACCTTAAGGCACAATGCCCTGGGTACTAGTACTCTTCAGGTCACCAGTGTGTCATCCTAGGTCCTCAGTTGGAATTGTTTGGTCTTCTGGAGAAAGAATAAGAACAATCATCTCAGGGTGTAGCTTGTCCTTTGTCTCAGGAGAGTGACGCATTCATCATTGTCTCCTGCATCGCAAATGGCAAGCTCTTATCTGTTTCATTGTTTACTGGTCCCTGGCCTAGACCATCATAGCTCTTAATATTTTCACAGCCTCAGCTATCTGGAAGCTCAGAAGCTTCCAAAGTACTTACAGAGAACTTCCAGTTAGTCTTCACATTTCCTTCGCTTAAATGAAAGAGGGAAGATCCTGAAGATCCTGCCAGACCTTGGGATGAGACATCTGGAATAGGCTTTGGGGTGTGCAGTCCTCTGAGGAACATCCTGTCTCTTGCTGCAGCGTTGGAGTTTACAGGGGAAGCCTTCCGTGATGTTCCTGCCCATTGGTCTGTCTAAGTCTGAAAAGATCCCAGGACTCTGCTAACAGCTATGAGGTAGAAAATAAAGTTTATTTGGTGGGAGTGTCCCTGCTATCTGTGCCCTTGTGCCAAAGGGTCCTGTTAATATTATTCTCTCTCTAGATGGGGGCTGTGCTCAGAAACTGGATGTCACCTCTTGTTTCCTGAGCATGCTACCATGCTCCAGCCTTCCCAGTTTGTCTCTGAATTCCATCTTGAGGCTTAGCAGTAAATAAAAAGAAGAAAAACACATGCCATGGTTGACATTCAGAGAAATATCCCCCAGGAATGGCCCAAGGTCATCTAAGCACCTCTCTGCAAGATCCTTTTTCTGCCACACTGTTAGTGATATTCCTCTGATCTGGCTGAAGATTGAAACGAACGGCAATCTATAGTCATTTGGATTTTCCAGATTAGTGTTTCTTTTTAACCACCTGATACTGAAAAAAAAAGTTCCTCTTAATCACAGCATTAGAATGAGATACTATGGAAATGAAACCAAGTTCACCAGAACCTGGGATCTTCTGAAAAGTTTAAGTTTATGCTTTCTTCTCTTTCCTTTTCTGAGATGGCAGTTCTGTATACGTGGTTTGATTTAATTCCATTAAATTCATTAGTGCAATTCTGAACCTCTTCAAAGTTGTCTACATATTTGCATCTGTTTGTTGAGTGTAAGGAAGTAGCAGAGGGAGATGGCATTTTTGCTCCTTTTATTTTACCTTTCTTCCTATATCTCCAGTCTCATTTGGACTACAGGTTATTTGGGGGGTGTGTTGTGTGTGTGTGTGTGTGTGTGTGTAGTGACAGTCCTAGTTTGTGACAATAAAAAACTGTGTTAATGGTAATGTCACATGGCCTTGCCAAGTGGGTCCTGTTATCCACATAAACTCCAGAGAGTCATGTGGTTCCCATTGTACAGGCAGACATGTTCCTCTAAGGGGCCTGGAGGGCCAGTTGACTGTGCATCTTCAGTAGCCTAATCTAGAGGCAAAACAGTGAGCTATAAGATTCAGCATCATTTGCAGAGGGAAGGAATATCTAGCCACAAAGCAAATTAGTTCAGAATAGAGTTGGGAAACAGCTACCTCGGCTTCCACCTTTGATGTCTGCTCTGGAGACCACATTGTCCACAAACTGATGTTGCAGTTTGCCTGGAAAAATTGAGCAAGTTACTTAATTCCCTTAGTCCTGGTTTCCTCATCCATAAAATGGGCATAAAGAGATAAATCTGTAGAGCAGTAAGCCCAGCATCCAGAAGGTGATTGACAATTATTGCTGTTGGAGTTTATTGCGTGGTTGTTGCCCCTCTCCTTTCTCTATCATGCAGAACTATAAAGTTACATGAAATGCTCATGCATTGAGTTGAAAAGTCCCAAGATGGTGAGATGGCCAGCTAAAGCCCATTGGATGGATGGAGAGTTGAGTAAATTAAATCTGCTTCTCCAAAAGAAAGTGCCTTGCGTAAATTCATCTTTCCTCTGTGACTTCCTCTGTGTCCTTTGCCTGATTCAAGCCTTAGAGCTCCCATCTCTTCTATTGTGTTGCTGGGCATCTGCAGCTCTTCCCACTTAGCCCCCCCGCCAGGGTCCCCCACACTTACCCCTCATTGCTCTAGCATCTGTGGCTTCTGTTGTCTTAGTATTTCTCCAACTGGGTTCAACTTTCCCCAGAAGAGAGGGCTCCAGCCCGCAGGGACAGTTACTCCACTCTATAACATAATGTCCTCTATCCTGGGATGTACCTCCATTTCAATCCAGGGCATTCGTCCCTGTACCATCTATTTCCTCCCATCAACTGACTGGCAGCTGGAATGTGACTCAGAGGGTATGTGATCATTTCATAAGTAGTCCTTTCATGACCTTGGTCAGGTCTGTTGGTGCCCCAGTTCTTCAGTTCCCTCCTAGTTGAGTGCTGTCTCTTTACAATGATGAAGAACCCAAGTTCCTGCGGCAGGCGGGGCAGGGGGCGGGGAGGCTCAATGCAAATAATACTTCTCTTACCTTTGGTTGTTGGTTGTTCAGTTCTGTCTCCAAGTGAAGTCACCTTTCTCCTGCTTCCCACTCAGAATTTTATGCCTGCTTAGTGTCTGTCCCACCATTCTACTAAAGAAGAAAGGAGACGAAAAGTTTCTGAACGTTTCCTGGTCTCTGGTTGCATCAAGCTTGGAGTGCCAAATATCTGTGCTCTAAGATAAAAGCACCATGTCTGGCTTGAGTTATGCTCTTTATCAGATGGACTGAAACACTGTCTTGGGAGGAAGGTGGTTTGCATCAAAAACATTCACTCTTTTAAATTAAAATTCCTTTCCTTGCCCTCCTGTAAATGAGCTCCCGAGACTGGGGTACTTCCTCCTCATCCCTGAAGTCTCATTACAACATTTATTAAAGGCCCCTGTGCCACTGCAGAACTGGGAAGATCTAGTCATCTTCTGTCTAATCTGTAATCAGATTTCCAGCAACTTATTTATAAGAAGCAAGCCTAACATTGCTAGGGTGTTGAAATATGGGCGGCGGCGGGGCTGCGTCCCCAACACCCCGGCCGCTTGGCTAGCTCATGCCCGAAATAACAACACACAAACTGTATTCATTTAAGAACTGCTTGGCCCATGAACTCTAGCCCTTACAGGCTAATTCTCGCACCTGGACTAGCCCATTTCTAATGATGTGTGTAAGCACCCCAAGGTGCTCTTACCGGGAAGATTCTAGCCTCCGTCCATCATGGTGTCTCTGCTCCAGCAGAGCTGTCGGGTCTCTCCGGGAGCAGAGCAGAGCCTGACCTCACTTCCTTTTCCGCCCAGAATTCTATTCTGTTTCCTCCTCCCGTCTATCTTTTAACCTATCAGGGCCAAGGAGTTCCTTTATTGCTTAACCAATGAAATCAACAGATTGATATATGACACTCCCACATCACTAGGGCAGCTTCTAATTGTCTAGTCTACTGCCTCTCTGGAGTGACAGGGCCAGAGGTCCAGCCCCAATGTTTGGTGGCCATCAGAGGACTCTGTCATTCTGCCAGGAGGACATTAATATGCTCTAGTTTTAACAAGGGTAATACACATATGTATCCTAAATAAGTTCATATTCCTAATACCACCCAACTAGTATACAGATGACTCAGTTTTCACTTATGTGACTTGATTTACATAAGAATGGCATGTGGCCCCATAGCTTATCTGGCTAAAGAGTCTATATAATATAAGAACACCGTGGCTTAGGTGACAATATATAAGTACTTACTCTACAAAGAGTGCAGTGTGGCCTTGGTACCTATGAACAATATAAAAAGTCCTTATTGTTTGACATAATGCTCTCAAAATTGCTCTTTTGTTTCCCAGAAACAAAAAGATGAAAATGTATTTTCAAAACATATGATTTCACACACTAAAAAATATTAATAGTAAAACCATTTCTCCTAGGAGTGGCATCTGTTTTCTTTGTGGGAACCCCAGTGCCTGTATGAGGCATTGGCCTCAGAGAGGTTCCTTCCCTTCCTGGCCCTCTCTGCAGCTTCAGCTGCCTTCCAGCCGCCCGCCTCCCACATCCTCCCCGATCCAGGATAATTAGTGCTTTCCCTGCTTTCCTGATTTGTTGGTCTACAATTATGATTTATAAATAACCCACAAACAAGAAATCTAGACAACTTTAACTTCTGCTTTGGTCTGTTCGGAATTTCTAAATATGATCAGGTCATAGACGTGAGCTCAGAGGGATGACAGTGGTGGCAGGAAGGAAGGATAGCATTTGTTCTGGCGCATGCTTGGCTCTTGTACGTAGTCCTGCGTAGGTGAGGATGACAGTAGACGAGGAAGGTGGAAACCTATAAACTAGCAGCAATACAGATTTGCTATTCAACACTCTCAAAACATAAAGCACCACTGAGTGACCCCTCATTTCACTGATGAGCAGTCGAAGGCCCAGAACAGTTGCCGTCACTTCTTTTTTATTGTTTGATTCTGCTCTTTGACAATTTCATGTACGTGCATATATTCTGATTACACACCCCAAACAACCCTCTTTTCTCTCCCTCCCATCTTGTCAGTGACCTCACATCCCTCAGAGTTCTTTGCCCAGGTTCTGGGCTTTTGGTTTGATTTTTGTGGCCCATTTCATTTAACTAGGGCCATCTGTGTGACCATTAGATTGGAACTACCATTGGAACACATGGGATGGCCAATAAGGACACAACTAAGGCTGTAACTACCACTGCTACTGAATCTATCAAGAGCAAATAGTTATTAGTGAGGGGTAAAGCCCCTTAAGTCCCACCTCCATCCGTGCCTGACTGTTGATAGGCCTATTCTTACGCAGACTCCGTGTAGACATCCACACTACCAATGAGTTTATAATTACAGTGTTTTGTTGAAGGGAGATCACTTGTTCGTTCCCGACTGCTCAGCCCTGAAATAATCACACAGAAACTGTATTAATTAAGTCACTGCTTGGCCCATTAGCTCTAGCTTCTTATTGGCTCTTACATATTAATTTAACCCATTTCTATTAATCTGTGTATCACCACGTGGCTGTGGCTTACCAGCTAAAGTTCCCAGCGTCTGTCTCTGGAGGTTCCATGACTTCTCTTTGACTCCACTTTTCTTCCTTCCAGAATTCAGCCTAGCTTTCCCTGGCTACCTAAGTTCTGCCCTGCTATAGGTCCAAAGCAGTTTCTTTATTCATTAATGGTAATCACAGCACACAGAGGGGACTCCCACATCTGTGTTTTTCCTAGAGGATGGCATGTCACAGCCCTACTTGTTGACTTCTGGCTCTTACATTCTTTCCACTGCTACTTCTAGAATGCTTTTGGAGGGAATGGTATAAATGATGAATGTCTTCTTTCATGCTGAGCACTCTTCTTCCCCTACACTCCACACTTTGAGCATTCACCAACATTCGGTGGACAGAGAGACTTCTCTGTTGAAGCATGAGTAAAACTTTTCTCCATGGGAATAAACACAAATATTTAGAAGGCAGCTTGACACTATATCATCAGTGCTGAAGAACAACATCGAATTACCCCACTTGGACATAAAAGCTGCTCTTCCATGGGCCAAGTATTTTTAACCAGGTTTACATTCCCATGGATTCCCTCCAATGGGGTAGGCCTCAAATTCAATGATAAAACAGTTATTTAGCCCCATAAGAGTAGAATCAATACTGTCATTTTTTAACTAATTGCAGTGTGTATTGCAAAGATCTAAAATTATTATTAAAAGAAATTGACATATTTGTTCTCTCACATTGTTGATCATTTTTTGTTTGTTTGTTTTTTATTGTTTTGCTTTAGGTCTATTTTGTTTTCAGTTGTGTTTTTTTTTTTTCTAAAGCAGGATCTTACTGTATAGTCTGACCTAGCCTTAAACTCCCTGTGTAGATCATTGGATCCTCCCACCTTGGCTCCCAATAACTGGGATTACAGGTGTGCCCTGCCAGACACCATATCTTTGTTGTTGTTACACAATTTGTTTCTACTTATTTTACATGTATGGATATTTTGCCTGCATGAATTTTGTGAACCACTCGCATATCCTGTGCGGACAGAGGCTGGAAGAGAGCTTTGGATCACCTGGCACTGGGATGGTTTTAAATTGCCACGTAGGTGCTGGCAATCAATCCTGGGTCCTCTGGAAGAGCATCCAGTGCTCTGAACTGTTCAACCATCTCTCTAGGCCCTAGGATCAGTTTTAAATAAGGCATAAATAATAGATTTCACTTGTTTTGTATTTGTTTTACTTTTCCATCTTGAGAATATTCTTAGCTACATGACTTTTTTTCCACAAATCAGTTTGAACAAAATTCACTTTTCTCTCCCATATACTAAGGGCAGTATTGTGTCCAGGCAGATTCCTGTTATTGATTTTGTGTGCTAAAAAGACAGACAAAGGTTGTTTTCTATTTTGACTCATGGAACTCCCAATCCAAGCAGGAAGTACAACTGCAGCTTCTCCACAGCTCCCCTCAATGGTACCTCTGCACTGAAGCCATAATCTCTATTCTACAGGGTTTGTGCCCATTTGCTCTCTGGGGCTGTCACAGATTGGCCGCATGAATCTTGGGACAGATGCCAGTACCTTCAAATTTTATACCATGTGTGGCCTCCAGGAGGGCTTTGAGCCTTTCGCGGTAAATATGAACCGAGACGTGGCAGTGTGGTTCAGCAAGCGCCTCCCAACATTCGTGAATGTGCCCAAGGATCATCCCCACATAGAGGTAACATTATACCATGGGTGGTCCCTGCAGGGCAAGTAGACCAAGGCACTAAGTTCTCACAAAGTCTCCCATCAAAGAAAATGGTTACCTAAGTCCCGACCCTAGTTGCCTACCAACCACTGCCTGAGGACTTCATAGCTACAGTTGCATCCCCTTAACTTACAATATCTCACAAGAAACAATAGCATTGTACATGATTTTGCAGACTGCTTCCCAGACTGAGACACCAGATTATTTGCCAATGTTCCTACAATGGCATTATCATGGCACTTCAGGGTGCGGACACTTTCAATATTATTTTCCTCCCAAAGTTTAACATTTCTACTTGACATTCATGCAATAAAACATGTGTGTCCCTCCATGCTCATAACTTATCTTTATGGCCTTGTTTACACTGGTGCTGTTACTAGCATTATAAGCTGCAGTGTGAGACTTTATTATGGTACTTCCACCTTTAAGAAGAGCAAAGAACTAAATATTATAAGAAGCCAAGTTTGGGTTCTAGATCTGTTTTGCTGAGACCCACCATAATGTTCCTCTGATGGACACAGAAAGAAGAATGCTTCCAAATGGACCGGCTCCATTGCAGTGTTACTTGGGTTCAAGCCAGTGGTTTGCTCCAACCTGACTCTAAGCCCCCCACCTCACCTCTAGAAGGTCTGAACCTGGCAAGCAGCTGCTCTTAATGCTCCTCCCCTGTTAACCCCCATGTTCTAGGGTAGATTGTATTTCTCCGGTTGTGGGATAGCCATTATTTTAGAAGTGTAGTTCTAAATCCTGGATGTCTCACAACCTCTGGCAAACTGATAGATCTTAGACTTGGGAAAAATAGGAGGTGTGATAGAAGGCACTTGTAATTTTAGTGCTGGGGAGGCAGAGACGGGAAGATCCCTGGAGCTTTCTGGCCAGCCAGCCCAGCCTAGTTACTAAGCTCTGGGATAAGGAGAGAATCTGTCTCTCAAGACTAATTATTGACCTCCACACACAGGTGCATACATGTTCTTGTGCTTACACACACACGTGTACCCACATGAATACACACACATACACATATGAAGAATGTAATTAATATTGCTGGTTACCACTCTATAGAACCTGTGCTCCAAAGCCATGAATTGTCTCAGGATCTAGAGAAGGCTCAAGGCACATAAATTCTAAGGCTAGGACTCAAGCACAGACAGAAACCTGATAGGTTAAAGTACCCTCTGAGGAGCTTCTGTGGCTCTTCCTGAGTTGGGGACTTTCTGGTCCCTTTCTGTAAAATGTTCTCATGATACCCCCTGACTGTGGAAATCCTTGCTCATTATATACCCTCTAATTTAAAAGATCAGCATTATGTGGCCATCATACTATATCATCCAATATTTGTTCTCCATCCTTGGTCTTGCAGTGAACCTTTGGGTGTGTTTTACAATACTAATTTCTCCAGCCAAGAGCAGAGCCCAAGTTTCTCAACAGACAAAGCCCACATCATGAATAGCACAGTTTTCAGAATATCTTACTCTATGTTAGGTTGGTGAGAGACAGAGGGATAGGGTCAAAGTCACACCCTCCTATATGACAGGTTAAGGACTCATGCTGATGTTCCCAGGTTGTGAGGATTGATGGCACCATGGACAGCCCTCCGTGCCTCAAGGTGACCCACAAGACATTCGGCACACAGAACAGCAATGCCAACATGATCTACTGCCGCCTGAGCATGCCTGTCGAATGTCACTCCTCTTTCAGCCACAGCCCTTGTCTAGACAGTGAAGCCTTCCAGAAGAGGTGAGGGGGTGGGACAGTCCTGTAACTCTCAGCGGTACCAACTCTACCTGCTCTTAGGTTGACGTTTTGCTTGCTTTGTGCTTAAACCACAACATAAGAAGTGAGTTTATGGTGGCCTCTCTGCTTTCAGCTAGATAAAGAAATGAGCATGTGGAGGGCTCGGGGGATAGGTCTGTCTGTAAAGTGTTTGCTGACAGCGTAAAGACCTGTGCTGGGTCTCCATAGCCATGTTTGTTTGTTTGCTTGCTTGCTTGCTTTTAAGAAAGATATGGTGGCACATACCTGTACTCCGAGTTCTAAAGGGGCAGAAACAAGAAGATCTCATGTGCTCACTGGCCAGGCAACCTCTCAAAAAACAAAGTAGATAGAGGCTGAGGAGCAGCCCCTGAGGTTGATCTCTGGCCTTCATCCTCATGTACATACATGTGCATCCATGCATCCATGTGCCCCTGCATGCGTGCACACATTTGTACCTGTACACATGCACACACAAAGAAATGGCTCTATGTGTGTGCATGTGAGTGAGTTCCTGCAAAGCCATGTATGTGTGGAAGTGCCTTGCAAAATTAAGAAGCCCATGCAGCTAAACAGAATAGCCTATGCAGCTAAACATCTGGAGAGGATATTTCTGCTCTCCTTTGAATCTCTGAGCTTGGGCCTCTTTGCGTTCATAATGCTCGCGATTTGGGAGCAGAAAGACTGCTTATGTTTGAAATGAGAAATGTCAGAAGGCCAAAAGCCACCTTTGCATAGCTATGGACATTTCCCAACCTTGCCTCGCTGTGCCTCTCGAGTTATGTGATTTCTTCCTTCCTGATAAGGCATGAATTCTCTGCTGTCTTTCTGTCCTTGGATGTCTATTTTTGATGATTGGTGTGTGCCTGGTGTCTAGGCTGTCTTGTCCAAATCTCTCGTAGCAGTTCGCTCTCCACCAAGGTTTTGAATAAGCACAGCTGCTTGAGGGAGCATGGCAACCCATTCTCTACCCATGTTATTACAGCACCCCATCCTCCTCCACATTACCACCTGCAGCAGGGGGATGCTGGAAGCCATAGTACTGCATGTGGCTGCAGCTTACAAATGAGCAACTCCCAAGACCAGTTGCAGTCACTTGTGTATAGCAAACAGCCAGTTTCCTAAGCCTGCCTTGATCGTTAAAGGTAGATCAATGGCCTGTCAGAGCTGTGGGGTTCTCTATTCAACCGGATGACTAAAATGTGGATTACCTCCCCCTAGGAAACAGATGCAAGAAATACTCTCTCAAACAACAACGGTAAGTAAATGTGCTCAATTATGGCTTTAATTATTTGATTTGCTCTCCCTGGTAATATGCCCCACACAGCAAAGATTTGTCTAGAGATCTTCTTTAATTGTCAATTACTCTGTCTCCTAATATACATTTGGACCCTTCCAGAACATTTCTATGGTGTTTGTCGAATAAGGGAAAGAAAGCAGAGCTCAACCCGGAGTTCCTAATTGGGCATCATGTGTCCTTCTTGCCCGTTTGCCCCCAGGGACCCATCATTGCCTTTCTGATTGAAAGAAACATGAGTTGGAAGAGTCCCAATTAAATCCTTTTGTTTGCTCTTTTGTGTCAACTTCTATGAGTCGGTTCCCTAGTGTGTCTGTTCAGTGCCAGGAGCAGTCTTGAAAGCAATCAAAGAAGGGGCAGGAAGGCATCCCGGAGGAGAGAAGCTACTTCAGGTTCCTTTCCGCAGGACAGTAGTCAGGAAAAATGCCTCCTGGTTTCCTTCTTCCTCCATTCTCCCTCAGCAGCTGGTGTCCATGGGAAAAATATTTCCCCTTCTGTAAAGTTCCCCTCAAGTCATAAACTAAACACCACCAAAACCCAAGATGCTTGCTGCAGCAAATCATAACCCTGCTATGTCTGAGCACTACGGCCCAGCAATTATGTACAGTCCCATTTAATTTCCATTTATTTGACTTAATCATAACCCCTTTGAGATATGTGATATTGTGCACAGAGAAGACAAAAGACTTACCCAAGTTCACAGAATAATAATCAGTTGTGCCAAAGATTCAAGCCTAGCTTTCTCTAACTATGCTTTCTATTTTTTCTTTTTCTTTCTTTTTGTTTTCTGGTCTCAGTCAAGAAAAGTTAAAGTTGGCACAGTACAATAAGTAAACCTGCTCATTGTCATAAAGAAAGAAATGAAGTAGTCACCTTCCCTGGTGCATAGCTATTAGTACGAGAAGGTGATAAGCCTCACAGATTGTACGATCCTCTTTGGGAACTTTGTCCTCACCATTGCCTATGGTTGGCATAAAGGCCACACAGAGAGTTGGTGGCTGGGATACAGCCATTTTCTTTTTCAGCTCTTTTCTCAAGACTTCACATAAACAAAAGCCTCGTTCTGAGTCTAGAGTGTAGCGTTGTATACCTTCTCAACAGTGTGTTGCCTTAGCCAGGCATGGTGACACAGGCTAAGAAAGGAGGGGTACGACAAGTTCAAGACCAGCTTGAGCTACAAAGTGAGATCCAACTCAGGAAAAGGAAAAGAAACATTCCGTGTGTACTTCTTCATAAAAATGAGCCAAGTGAGCTAGTGAATGGTTTTGTCTGTCAGCTCTCCTCCCAGACACAGACACCACTCACACATCCTGTTGTCCCCTCCACAGCAATGCTACTACGCTATCCGCATTTTTGCTGGGCAGGATCCATCGTGTGTCTGGGTTGGATGGGTGACTCCGGACTACCATTTGTACAGTGAAAAGTTTGACCTGAATAAAAACTGTACCGTGACTGTCACTCTGGGAGATGAAAGAGGCCGGGTCCATGAAAGGTAAGGAGTGGGGGCTCCCAGGAAACTCCTTCCTCCCTGGAGTAGCCACCTACACATCATCCCTCACCCCAGGTAGAGAAAGCATCCCAGCCTGTCTTAAAAGGCGAACAAGTACTTAATTGTTTTTAAATCATTAAGGAAACTGGGATCCTCATGACAGTGGAAAGGGAGTGTTTGGAGAAACAGGTTCATTTCATCACATATATAAATCACAACCCAGTGATGGGAGATAAAGGTAGACCATTGGGACCAGAGAGCCCGCTCTCATTCGCTCCATGGTTTTGAGGCAGGCCTCTGTTTCTACAACATCAGAAAGCGCCTGCATACCTGAGAGAAGCTAGTTTGATGGGAATTGAACAGATGAACAGTAACACACATCCACTGACAAATCAGAAGCCCTCATCGCAGGAGCTGATGCACCTGAAAGCATAAGGAATACAAAGGGGAAATGGAAAACCCATGAATAACAACTAAGGAGTAGGCAGTAGGACTCTCTGGGGAACTTTGCTGTAGGCCCACCCAGGTCCTCCGCTGTCCACGGACACTGCTCTCAGGGAAAATCAATGCCTGGATATGTCCCAAACATGACCTTAAAAACAATGTCTTCTCATCTGTCTATTTTCTATCCTCTGGGTTTGGAACACCTTTTTTCCTTGTGCAGCCATGTTTCAAGATGTAGTAGGTTATTCTCGGGTACGTCTTCACACCCTACCAAGTCAGGGTTCCTTTTCAGTCAGTGCTTTCTGTCTATAGTGAAGCTCAGGTGAGTCTTGTCACCCTCAGGACAGACCCTGTGGGCAGATGGGGAAAAGCACAGGCTCCGAACTCGAGCTCGATACTTAGTCTCTTCCTATCCATGCGATTTTGAACCCTGATTTCCTTATATATAAAATGAGAATGATCATTCAAATCCCAGAGTTCTGTAAGAAGTAAATGAGTTAATTAGTAAAAGAATATTTAAGACAGGGCCTTCCTTGCCTCCAGTACTTGATAAATATCAAGTATTATTGTCAGCAGTTAAGGCAAGGTCTGGTGCATTGTGGTGATCAATAATTCTTCATTCTTTGTCTGACATAATAAGCAATAAACACAGAATTGAGGTTTACATGTTTCGGGGCATTTTAAATTTGGTATCTTTAAAATATACACAAAGCCTGCCACTTCACAATACACAGCTCAATACATCAGTAATTGAATTCTGTAATTTAAAAAGCAGTGATAACATGGCTTGATTCGAGCTTTATAGAATTCGTCTATCCATGGCTATAACTGGAAGACACAGTTTGTAGAGGTCTCTGCACTCATTCTGAAAAAGCCGCCCCATTGTTGCCCCCAAATAAGAGAAAATGAAAGGGGATTTCCACTCACAGGAGAAAGTGGCAGACTTCTAGAAATAGAAGAAAACAGAATTTCTTAATCCAGCCTGGATTTTCCAAAGAATAGTTCAGAGAGGTAAACAGCCTTCAGGATATAGGATTTGAGGATCTGTCCACCGCACAGGGCTGAATACGTGGTCTGGGTTCCTTCCCACTGCTGAGAGCCACAATGGGAACCCATGCCAAGCCACATCAGATTGGTCTCAGTGCGCTCAAAGGGAATTCTCTAGCACCAAGTAAAGAATCAATTGTCCTTTAACCTAAGAAAGGCCACATCACATCACTTCAGAAGCCCAGGTCCCTCAGCTGTTGCACCCCAGGTGAACTGACGGGGAGGCAGAACTGACCGGTTCTTGCCACCAGCCATTGTGAGAGGCTCTGAGGATCGCATCTCACATAGCCTATCTTCTCCAAAGCTCTCCCTGGGTAGGCAATTCTGCAATTAAGAAATGAGAGCTGGGGGTGTAGAAACCCTCCTTACTCTGCATAGGATCCTGGATTTTACCCCTGTCACCACAAAAGTGAAAATGATAAGGAGCTTGGTTTGGGAGCCTTTAAAAGTTTTTGGTCACCATGGTTTGCTTTTAAAAGTAATGGTCACGTGGAGTTCTGCGCTCTGAAAACTGGTACACAGCTGGCGGGAGAAAAACCCACATGGTTATTTAGCTATTTAGGCTACTTAGTCGTGTAACTTGCGGGCTTCCAGAGTAAGAAAGTGCAGTGTAGTAGTCAAGGAGCTAGGAGACCACTGGAGACAAGCGGTCCATCTCGACCCCAGTTGCCATTCAAAGAAATATGGACCAAGTTTTCAAGCACTTTATGAGCTGTGGTCCTGGATATCGGAGAGGGATAGTGAACCCAGGTTACTGCTTCTGCTTCTCATACCAAATTCCTCTATAAATGTGCCTAACGTTAGTCTCCTCCCTGCGGTTTGATTTTCTGTCCCTATGGGAGTCTTACCCTCCTTGGTATCAAAAGATCAGATTGCTAATGAGTTGGGAAATAATGATCCGCCATATTGCCCCCATCACCCCCCACAGAGATTCGTGCCTGAGTAAATTTAGTTGACGATGAATGGTTTCATTCAAGAAAACAGTTGTGTAGGGCTAATGATAAAAATTCATAGAGAGGGTTTGCAGGCAATTTACAAGTGAATTGTGATGAGAAACCAGAATATAGAAACTATATTCTGTAACTCCTCCCCTTTTCTCTGGTTTTCAGTGTGAAACGCAGCAACTGCTACATGGTCTGGGGTGGGGACATTGTTGCTAGTTCCCAAAGATCAAGTCGAAGCAATGTAGACCTAGAGATTGGCTGCCTTGTAGATCTGGCAATGGGCATGTTGTCCTTCTCAGCCAATGGGAAGGAACTCGGTACCTGCTACCAGGTAGGTGTGGCTTCTGGGGCTGGGCTGTTGCTTTGGGCTTTGAGAGTTGGGCTTTGGGCCTGGGCTAGTAATGTTCTTCATTTCTTCTGCCTTTAACATCCTCCCACAACCAGCTGGTGAGCCCATGTGGAATACTGGTCATTAGATTAGGAATAAACAAGAACAGAGTGATTGTATTTTATACGGAAAAAAGTATAAATATTTATTGGGTGATTTTTATATACTGGTCATCCTTCAAGAGGAAACAACAGCTTCTCTTTATTGAGCACTGAAAGATCATTCATTTACTCCAAAAATATTTCTCTGCTGCCTTTACTCTGTTTGTGCTAGATATAATGGGAATTTTAAAAGGTGAACAGAAACAGTCACTTTAAAACACTGTTTATTCGAAATAAAAACCTACAGAAACTGATGTATTCCCTTTACAGAGCGGTTATACTCCCAATGGATACCTAAGGTGATCCCTTATAATGTATCTTTTCCAAGTCACGTGTTTTCCTATTTCATAAACTCTAAACTTCAATAGAACTCCCCAGGAAAGCCTTCAGTTTTCACCTACCATTTGCCACGAAATCAGAAGTCTTCTTTTTTATAGCCATGTGAACATTGCAAAACATCATGTATTCTCTCTTTTTCTTGAATTTTATTAATATTTAGTCTACTAAAATCTGGAAAATACTTCAAGGGAAAAAACCTGTCTAACCGAGCATTTCTCAAGTTACTGAAACAAGGAAACTGTTTGTCGATCTTTCCTGGTAGTACTTTGTGAGCCTAGGGCCCCACAGAGCCCACCGTAGGACATTCTATACCAGCAATCTCAACACTCCTTAAGCACAGGACAGTGAGCCCCATGTATGTGTAGGTAAGGTTTGCTCAAGAAGTTAGAGAAGACCTTTCTCCCATGAAGAACAAGCGGCAGAGCCTCATTAGGGAAAAACCTTGGTTTTGCGGGAATGAAAAGGGCAGTAACCGAGGGAGGCACAATGGATCAGCAGATGGAATAATAGTTGGCTTGATGAGTGGTAACAGGGGCTCCATTTGGAGAGGGAGGGAGATATACATAGGAAACGGGGAACTATGGAAGGTCTCAGCACGAGAGTGATGTGCAGTAATTAAGGAAGCTAAACATGGTCTTCTAGGGTCAGCAATTTAGATAACCACAGAAGATATGCAATACCCTGTTATTACATAATAGATTTTAAAAAATGAGTCTTCGGTCAGCCCCAGGTCACAGGTTTTGAATTGAAAGACCCATAAGCAGCCAGCTCTCTTGCCTCTGCTTGGGGATATGGACCAAGGTGGATAGCAGACAGAATAGTCATCCCAGCCCTGACAGATTCACTAACCAAAAATGACGGGTAGACCAAACTTTGTCTACCTGTCAGGAGCAGCTCACTGACAGGGACGCCGTTTACCTATCTCTTCAGTGGTTCCTCCGGTGAATGGCACACTCAGAACCTCCTCCTATGAGGAATATAGTCAACACTTGGCAAGCTTGCCTGACAGCTGGAGGGCCCAGTCATTTCCAGAAAGCAGCATTTGTAAAATCGGGCTCTGAGGAAGAGAGCAAAGTACCCTTCTAGTACTTCCTGGCTTCATCAGGCCAAATGCTTCCCTCAGCCCAAATCCCTTGAGAAGCCTTTATATACATTACTACTGTCCTTCAGAATCCATTAGTGTTTTCCCATTACCTTCTGAAATGGGTTGGACTGAAGGGTCCCTCTTGAGCTGCAGAGAGTTCTGAAACATCTAATAACTTTCGTGACCAGTTGGACTTTGGAGATCTGCAAACACTAGCAAATTAAAAGCAAGACAAGGTGGCATTTGCCATAGAAGTGACTTGCCTGTCTCAGAAGAGTTGATGAGGCTAACTAACAAGACGCCACAACCAAGAGAAGGATGCTGCAGCTTCTTCATCACATCCTGCACAGTGATTCCTAGGTAGCATCAGGCTGGACCATTATCCTCTTTGAGCAGGGTGGGAACATACCCCCCCCCCTAGAGCATCTTCCTTATTTCGTACATTTAAAGTCTTCAGCTGCTGCTCAGTGTCCTAGTCCTAATGAACTTTGCTGGGTGGGATAGTGGCAGGGTTCTTCTGCTAAGGCAGGCTCCCATTCCACTATCCCCTTCTAATCTCCATGAGACAGAAGGATGCCCAGCTATGTGTCTGGTCCCTAGCAGCTGGAACATTATTATTCCACAGCTGTAGTCATGTTCATTTTTCAATTATCTCAAGAGGAACGGGACAGCAATATTTATACACTGGCCTTCAATTCAGAATGGGCCAAAATAATGAAAGACAGATTCCCTTAAACAGTGTTTCCAGGCCTCCCATTAAATGGTGCTATGCAATCTGAAAACCTTTCTCTCTCCCACTTAATAAAATCAGTAGAAAGTGAGAACTAAAATAGACACTCAAGCGTCAGTCATGAGTAACTGTCCCACACCAGTACAAAGGCAGAGCCGGTTGTGAGAATCAGATTTAGGAGGGAGGCTAGCTGGAGATTTGGGCTAGTTTCTAGGGCCTGACCTTCACACACGATTAGAAATGGAGCAGGTATCAGCACAAGGACAAATAGATCAGTCGGTGATTTAAAAAGAACCTTAGCTGCAAAAATGAAGGGAGTCCACGACAGCTCGAGTCCAGGTTCTGCTCATTGCACGGGAGCACCCTCTCCAGCTGGGGAGTCCTCCCAGGGCAGGGCCCAGCTCCATGCTCACTGTTCACGGAGCAGCAGCTGGTACCTCATGAGCGCTCACTGATATTTTGTGTCGTCAGGCTAGCTGACTTGGCTGGGAAATCACTTGTATCTACTTTGCTGACTAACAAATTGCCATAAAATTAGCAGCTGAAAACGACCTACATTCATTACATCGTAGATGAGCAGGCTTGCGGGCACTCAAACTCTCACAAGGCAAAACCCAAGGCACCTGCTGGGCTGAGCCAGGCTCTTCTCTGGGGGTTTGGAAAGAACCCCTTTCTGAGTTTTTCTGAGTTATTAACAGGACCCAACTTTTCATATTGTAGGTTTATTGTTCTGAGGTCCTATGCCCTTGCTGGGGTCAGGCTGCTAGCAGAGTGTGCCTACAATCCTTGCACATGAGCCCTTTGCCTTCAAAGCATCATGTTCTTATGATTCAGATCTCTCCAACTTCCTCTTCTGCCTCTGCAAAAGAAAACAACAAACAGAAAGCCCATGCCTTTCTCCAGGTTTAGTTCAAATGGCTAACAGCTTTCCTTGCATATGTGTAACGCAATTTCCGTTAGCATAATCTCAGAAATAAATCGAGGGTCCTCCGGAACCTTCTAGAATAATGTTTAACACATCACTAGTATCGTTTTTTCCTCTTGTATACCCTGTGGAGCCCAAATTAGTCCTAAACAAAATCCACACTGTTCATCATGGCGAGAGTATGCTCAGCACAAGAAAACATTCTATATCAAGGCTTTTGGAGCACTCCTAAGTCAGGCATGGACTTTGGTTGAGCATTTTATGAAGTTTGCAATAAGCCATCCTGGAAAGGTTGGGAACTACCACCTATGAGGCAGCTTGCTTTCCAAAGCCAGTCCGTTTAGATAAGGCTCTTATCCCAAAGACTGACAGCCTCCACATGTTTGGTACCTTTCTGTTTGCTAGATATAAAATGAAGGCTGTAGGGGTAATGCATTCTCAGGGTATAGCCAATTCGCCAATATAGCTACTTATCCTTGAATTTATAAGCAGAGAGAGCTGGAACAATCCCCCAGTGACTGCATTTACTTAATGGTAGTGGAGGAATAGCGTCTAACTTGGTGTACATCAAAATAAACAAGTATTAAGTGGAGCCCTTGATGTCACCTGCAAATGCCTCATACAGTCATACAAGGTGCAGTTGGAAGCCAACCAGAGAATCTCAAACCTTTTAACCTAAGTATATAGAGCGAAAAGGGCTACAGAAACATCCAGGGCATCCCAGGGAGAAGGCAAGATTCGTATTCCAATAAAGATCCTCAAAGTCTTTGCCCTTATAGCATCAATTCTCAACTGTGATGTGTGTCTGCGCCCAGCCCAGGACATTTGGCAGTGTCAGAAGGCCTGGTTAATTGTTAGGATTAGGATGTGCTCACGGATACATAATAGGTTCAGGACAGGGATGTCACTCACAATAGTACCCAGGTTCGCTCTCCCACCAAGGTAGCAGTACCAAAAATCTCAATAAGACTGAGGTTAAGAGCCTTGACTGCAGGGTATCCTGGAGCTTATGAACCTGCCATTTGCCTTCAGCAACGATCCCGAATCACCACCCAGACATATAGCTGTTGAGTAGCCATTCATTCTTTGCCTGGCTAGTGAGTAATAGACACTTCTGGCATTATGACTCTGCTCCTGAACTCCAGGGAAAGCTGGATGCAAGTACTTAAGGAAGTAAAGGGAAGGGTGTAAGATATTTTATCCCAGAGCAGAAGGGATTTAAGAGCTGGAGCAGTGACAGTCTCAAGTAAGACATACTAGGTCTCTGAGAGTGTCTGAGCAGTGGGGAGTGACCAGCCAACCAGTTGTCTCCTCTCAGCTGAACTTGACTGGGGTGGCCAATGGACTACTGTGGCTTAGCAAACTGATTCCCACAACCCTGGGCAAAACTCTTGATTTGTTTTGGTTTCCAGGTGGAGCCTAACACCAAAGTATTCCCAGCAGTCTTCCTCCAGCCTACAAGCACTTCTTTGTTTCAGTTTGAACTTGGAAAACTGAAGGTATTTATCTGTCCCTTCGATTAATACCCATGCCAAGGGAAGGCAGCCGCCGCCATCATGGTGACATCCCAGGCATCAGAAGGCAGGGGAGAACTCTTGCTTGTCACTCACCCCCATGCCTCTCTCGGGCCTCTATAATTTGCGGGGAAGTCCCAAGGATGGCGTATACCTTCTCATTTTCCTCTTCTCCCACCCATTTTAGCTACGGAAAGGACTGGTTACTTCTCACCTAACCCATAGTGTGCCAGCCTAACTGATGACAGCAAAGCCTTTGGCAAGCCTCAGGATAGATCGCCCCTCTTAACTTAGATTGGTTAAATTGACGGTTGTGCGCCAGGTACATGATCCTGGCAACTGAGACTCTCCCTATAATGAGCCCCTTTTCTTCTCTGATGTCTTTCTGCCTTGTCCCAGAATGCAATGCCCTTGTCCGCAGCCATATTTAAGAGTGAAGAGAAGAACCCTACCCCACAGTGTCCACCTCGGCTGGATGTCCAAACCATCCAGCCCGTGCTGTGGAGTCGCATGCCCAGCAGCTTCCTCAAAGTGGAGACAGAGCGGGTGAGCGAGCGCCACGGCTGGGTGGTGCAGTGCCTAGAACCCCTGCAAATGATGGCACTCCACATCCCGGAGGAGAACAGGTACTAGAGGGACCTACAGAGAAAGGGACAGTCCTGGGAAGCCAGAAAACTCCAAAGGGAACTAGGAAAATCTTCAGTGTGCCCTACACTATCCCAAGATAACTGTTCATTCCCCACAATACATTCGTTCTATCCTTTCTCCTTCCCATCTCATCATTCAGTCAAAAACGGCAGAGAATACACGATGATGCCCCAGCCATGGTATCTTCTGAAGACCAGGAATCAGGAAATATTTCCATGTTTTTTTTTGTTTGTTTGTTTGGTTGGTTGGTTGGTTTTTCGAGACAGGGTTTCTCTGTGGTTTTGGAGTCTGTCCTGGAACTAGCTCTTGTAGACCAGGCTGGTCTCGAACTCACAGAGATCCTCCTGCCTCTGCCTCCCAAGTGCTGGGATTAAAGGCGCCCGGCCCATGCTTTTAATTAAGATACAAGAGATACTGAAATAGACATATATTTAATTTCACAAAAATAGACATATATTTAATTTCACATGTCTAGCTTGACTTAGAGAACTAGGACTTGGGGTCCTTGTGTCCCTTTGTTAAAAGGATTGTGACTGGATTCAATCCCAGCACTTTCACTTTCTGCATGTGTAGTTTGGTAAGCTGCTCACATACGCCAAGCTGCAGCCACTTCAGTCACACAGCAAAAGAGAAGGCCACCCATACTGCTGCCAGAGTAAGAGTGAGGTTATATAGGACAGAGAGGAGGAGCATGGCAGAGATTTCTGTCCCTCTGCCTTTGCTGCTCTGGTTGAGGTCCCTGGGGTTTTGCAGGGCGGCTCCACTGAATTCTGACACTTGTGTCTCACCGTGGAATGGCTGGTTGCTTTGTCTCCCTCAGGTGTGTGGACATCCTTGAGCTCTGTGAGCAGGAGGACCTGATGCAGTTCCATTATCACACACTTAGGCTCTACAGTGCCGTGTGTGCCCTGGGGAACAGCCGGGTTGCCTATGCCCTGTGCAGCCACGTGGACCTCTCTCAGCTCTTCTATGCCATTGACAACAAGTACTTGCCTGGCCTCCTCCGAGCCGGTTTCTATGACCTGCTCATTAGCATCCACCTGGCCAACGCTAAGGAGAGGAAGCTGATGATGAAGAATGAGTACATCATCCCCATCACCAACACCACCAGGAATATCCGCCTATACCCAGATGAGTCCAAGAGGCATGGGCTGCCTGGGGTGGGCCTAAGGACGTGCCTTAAGCCAGGCTTCAGGTTCTCGACTCCTTGCTTCGTGGTAACTAATGAGGAGCATCAGAAGCAGAGCCCTGAGATTCCCCTGGAGATCCTCAAAACCAAGGCTCTGAGCATGCTGACGGAGGCCGTGCACTGTAGCGGGGCCCACATCCGAGACCCTGTTGGCGGCTCAGTGGAGTTCCAGTTTGTGCCTGTGCTGAAGCTCATTGGAACCCTGCTAGTCATGGGCGTTTTTGATGATGACGATGTCCGTCAGATCCTCCTCTTGATTGATCCCTCTGTGTTTGGGGAGCACAGCGGGGAGACAGAGGAGGGAACAGAAAAAGAAGTGACCCAAGTCGAGGAAAAGGCAGTGGAGGCTGGAGAAAAAGCCAGCAAGGAGGCTCCGGTCAAAGGCTTGCTGCAGACCCGATTGCCCGAGTCTGTTAAGCTGCAGGTAACTGGGAACAACTGACGTGCTCTGGTAAAGTGCCCTGGAGGGAGAGAGGAAAGCCTGGGTATGGGGACTCTGGGCACAAGCCTGAGTCTGCTGGGGAAGCGAAAGCATGCAGAGAGTCCCTGGGGTGATGCCTCTTTCCATGGAATCCACTCTCTAAGCTTTCCCAAGCCAACATGAAAATGCCAACCTTTGTCAGGAAGATACTTTGAGACATTTAGACTTCAGGTAGAAGTTTCTTCACCAGGGTTGGGTTTGCCCATGGCTCTGAGTCTTTGAGACCAAGGTGATTATTTTAGAGGTACCTGTTTAGAAAAGGGCTAAGATTCTGGTTGTAACCAAAGTAACCCCCAAGGAACTGACATACAGGACCAGACGCTCATACCCACTCTCACTAAGCTATGTTCTTACACTAATATGATGGGGCCCTGTTGCCCCAGTATTCACATAACTGTTACACAGACTAAGGCGCATGCTTCTGGTACCACCTATGGGCCTTCAGTTCCATCTGAAGCAATGCTTCCTTGTGTAAGCTAGCACAAGCTATATGCTAAGAATGATAACTTTTGTCTTCTGGGCACCGAAACAAAGAGGAAAGAAGATGAAGAACAGTGAGCCTCGGTCAGCCATTCCTAGGGTTTTATTCCTCCTCCTCTGCTGCTGCTTACTGGATATGTAAACTCACCAAGTCAGCAGCCAGCCAAGGCCTTAGAGTTATTATCTGTAAAATGGAAATAATACAGAAAGATAATGCCAAACATATTTTCATGAAATATGTAAAGTATGTTCCACCATATCATAGAATGTGCCATAGTGAGGTAATCTATGATAAAAGTTCTCTCTTCTAATATAATGGGATTTGTGCATAGTCAGTTAATCAGGATATTGAGTATAAAGGAGAAATGTAGCTTATATATAATGACATGGGCATAAACACATACAGACACACCCGCATGCACACACACACACACATTAGCATTTTATTAAATCATTTAAGTGCACAGCTGTGAAAAAGAGTGAAGATCTTTTCACCAGTACTTGAAGCTCTTCTGTTTCACATCTGACCTCTGAGATAGACCATCTACGATTGCCAGTTGAGGGATGTTTAAAGTGAACATCAGAGATTCAGTCATGCACTGCATAATGTCACTTCAGCTGACAATGGACCACACAGGTGAGAGGGATCCCATGGTGATACCATCTAGTGAGAGACTAACCATTGGTTGCTAAAATCCCTTCCCTAGGTGAGCTATAAGCAACATCTCTATTCCTTCTCCTAAGATCCTGATGGCAAACCAAGGCAAGATCTCATCAAAGTTCACACTGGAGAACCAGTGTCTTTATTGGGCTTCCTTGCAGAGCATCGGCGAACGGGTCTTAGAGGACTCTGGGTGCTCCTCCCCCAACAGGCCACACCTGGAAAGTCTCTAACCAGGAAGAATGAGGTCCTCCTTGTAGCTGTGTAGACGGAGCTCCTTCTTCTTCATCTTTTCTGGCCTGTGGACTCTAGCCCTCCTGAGGCTGTGTGCAATTAAGGCAGTGTGTATAACGTGGTAGGAAATGGCTGGAGAGTAAGGTGAAGGTCTTTTGACCCTCTCTGTCCCTCTATGAAGGGACATGAATAGGAAGCAAGCCTAGCATGGAGAATCCTTTTGTCACACTGAGCTCCCCAAGGTGGGGGTACCTTGGCTCAGAGGATAGTCACCCACAACACTTAGTGTGTGATGTTTTTGCCATGATGAATGCTCTGACTGTGGATGCGTCAAGGCGCATCCTTGTCACTGAGTCAGGACCATCACTAGAAAGCAAAACACTTTCAGACTTGAATGAGTTCCCCCAACTCTTCAGCTTTTTTCACACTTAGCATTCTTTAGAACAACTTAAATTTACAGAATGATAAGATTATTAAAATAACTAAAAAACTAACCATCCTTGAGCAGTGCAGTCAGCACCCACCCTGAAAGATGAGATGAAGAATACTCTTTTCAGCTGTCCCATCTTCTGTTGCTGGAAGGTGGGAGAAAGGAAAGCAATGCTCACATGAGTACTTAGATTCTGGTTTTCAAATATGACTCCTGAGGGATGCATCTTCTAGAAGATCCAATTTTCAGTGAGTTTATTTTTCTCATTCTCTGGCCTCAGTGGCTAAACAATTCATCTTTGGATTTAGGTGGACTTGGATTCAGTAGCTGCATGGTTGCTCTATGACACTAGATGGGTCACTGCACTTACTTACCTAAGTCTCAGTGTTATTGGCTATGAAGTATGGCACTGGCAATGTTGTCTGTTTGCGTTAAGTGCATTCTATAAGGATGTAACACACACACACTTTTTGTTACAGATGTGTGAACTCCTCAGCTACCTCTGTGACTGTGAACTGCAGCATCGAGTAGAGGCTATTGTGGCATTTGGTGACATTTATGTGTCCAAGCTTCAGGCAAATCAGAAATTCCGCTACAATGAGCTCATGCAGGCCCTGAACATGTCTGCAGCCCTAACTGCCCGGAAGACACGGGAGTTCCGCTCACCACCTCAGGAGCAGGTGAGTCCCATCCTGAACTCCATCCCACTTCCTGTGGAAAAGAGTACATGAATCCTTTGTGTTATTTTCGTCAAACTGAAGAGCTATGGATTCCTAGAAGAATCACCACAGCACCAAGAGATTGGAGAGAACTTGCCAATTATCTTGGCTGGGGTGAGGGGAACATTTCTAAACTGAACATAAGGTAGAGCTTCCTTCTTCCACCCTCTCCTTCTCTACGTGTGCCTCTACTAATCGGTGGAAAACCAGAGGAAAAATGTTGAGGTTCAACAGATACCTCGGGCACATCTACTCCTCAGAAGAATGTTACTAACTCTTCCAGAAATCCCTGCCTCTCTATTAGAAGAACGTAGCTGGTGCACCCTGGTTTGTGAGAGCTGAGGGGCAGCCTTCCTCACCTGACACATCCAAGTGCCTTTGACTTAAATTTACATTAAGCCTTTTTAGTTCCGTGAAGCCTGTAGAACAGACTTTATTACGAATCATCCTTTGCGATGTGTTATATAGAACCCACTTGTTGTCACTGCTGAGACAGAAGGTGACTTTAGATGAGTTTAAATGAGGGAATGGTATCTCACACTCTAATATTGCTATCCAGGCTGGTTGCCCACTGTTCCCTTAGTGTTCAAAAGGAAGGTAGATCCTGCGGTGAAGAAACCAGCTCTGTCTTTGAAACTACATCTTTGAGTCTTATAAATTTTTAATAAGCATACTATTCATTGTTGTCACTATAATTACCACTATTTTATCTTAATGGCACAACTACAACTTCATTCAGTTTCTTTCCCAATCTATTTTATGGAACATAGTTATTTATATTGTCTTGCCACTGAACCACCTATCTGAGCTTTTGAAAGACTCATGGGTAATAATGCATAAAGAGAAGGCAAAGCTAATCATCTCTCTAGTTCAAAATGAAAGTCCTTAGGACTGACTGAGAGAGGTCATTGTGCTGAACCAAATGTATGAGTATGCTGTTTCTCCAACTGCCACCCAAGAATTCCTCAGATGCTACAGGCTTTTGAGACTGGTGGTGGATATGAATGTTCCCCATAACACTGTGCAAATGATGATCTCTCAAACTTCTATGAATAATTGGAAGGCAATAATAAGTAAACCAAATTTATTTGCTGCTGAGTCAGGAAAACTTCCCTTAAAGGAGCTGTGGCACACTGCCAGCAAACAGCTAGAAGCTGTGCTAAGCTCTGTATAAGCTCTGTATGTCTTCCTGTCCAGAATTTCTTTTCAAGCCCTCTCAGGTTTTACATAGATTTAGTTGGCCACATTTGGGCGCCAATTTGTTGCATGAAGGGGATGCTTGTTTGGCTATCTTAGACCCAACTAGCAGCAAATCCTGCCTGGTCTGTCTTTCCACCTCTTGATTGTGTGCTCTTTCAGCAGGTGGGGTCCTTCCTAAGTTTTGTTGACAGGAGGAGTCTTTCAATTAAGATCTTCATTTTGTACTCTGAAACCATACCATACAACCTTATATTTATTTTAAAAACAGTGTACCCTATCTTGTTGTAATTAGCATGATTTCCCTTTTCCAACCTATTTCATGGGTATTATTTAGTTACAAATAATATCTCTACCTACTTACAAGAAGATTTGATCCAGGCTGTAGTGGCACACACCTTTAATCCCAGCAGGGAGGCAGGGACAGGTGGATCTCTGTGAGGTCAAGGCCAACCTGGTCTACAAAGCTAGTTCCACAACCGCCTCCAAAAAGCTACATAGAGAAAACAAAACAAAGAAAGAAGAAAAAGATTTGAAAGAGAAGTTCTGAATGAGAGACTTCTGAATCATGTTAAAATTTAGTAAGACATTAGAATGTCTTCCAACTACGAAGTCCTCAACAGTTAAGGACAAGCTCTATGCCTGGTGGCTGGGATAGCATGGCTGAGTCACACTGGGTTGGGGACCTCTAGCAGCTTCTGCAATTCCTCTACCTCGTCACCAACCTATAGTTGCAGGCCTGCAGGGAGCATCCTGAAGTCCGGGAGCCTAGCTGGGCAACAAAGCCTTCACTGACCTCTGCTAGCATGACTTTTCATGGTTAATGTACACAGCAGAACAACCGCCCCACTTTCTCACTACTGAGGATTGAACATGTTTCATTATAGTCTGTAGAGGTTACATTAGGAATGTCTTTACATTCAACACTGCTTCAGGATGCAGGGGCTCTGAGAGTAGTCACGAGGTCTCTTCATGTCAGCTAGTGATGAAGTACATTTATTACTGTATCACAGATATTTTTTTTTGGTTTTGATAAGTGTCCTTCACTATGATCATGACTCTTCGTAAGTTTGTATGTCTTGTTTGTTTAAAATATTAATTTGTAAATTAATTGTGTCACTAAACTGCAAGAAAACTGCATGGCAAATTGAAAAGCATCAAGAACAGAATAGTAGGAGCAAAAAGAAAGGCAGAGTGAGCACAGAAGATAAATCTACATCTCAACACCAGGACCTAAATGAAGACCCTATTCATAAAATTAAAAGCTAACTCAAACTCCAGAAATCTATCGAGTATCTATTATAAGCAACTAAAACTCCAGAAAATGTTTAAGTTCATTAGAAAAATGTGCAAAGGACTCCACCAACTAATTTTCAAATGGGTAATTACCTGGTAGAAAAATGGAGGAAGAGCATGAGAAGAAAATCTTTACAAAATATGCAATAAAATTACTCTTAATGCGTGGAAAATGAATTTCAACCTCACCAATTAAATGCAAATCAAAGCAACAGGAATATGTTATTCTTCACCCATGAAGCTGGAAAATATTTGAAAATGTGTTAAGTTCTCATTACTGTAATAGAGATGCCAAAGTAACACAAACTTACATAAATTTGAAATAATGCAAATTGTTGTGAGATTTCTGGGAAGCGATTTACAATTCATATCACAAGCCGTTAAAGTGGTACACACCTGTTGCTCCATTCATTTTGCTTCTAGTTTATCCTTAAAAAAATCTAAAATGTTAATAAAAAGTATATAAAATATTCAAAGCAACTTTGTTTATATGAAAAACAAAAATGAGTCGGGAGATGGACTGGTGTGTAAAAGCACTGGCCCCTCAAGTATAACGACGTGATTTTGAATCCTTAGACTCTCATAAAAACTGACGGATGGTGTGAGCATCTGTAATCCCCGTGCTCATATGGAGTGAAGGGAAGTGGAGACAGGAGAATTATTGGAAGTTCACAGGCCAGCTAGCCTGATGTATGAAGTGAAGACCAAAACATAAAGACCCGGTCTTACATAAGGTAGAAGGCAAGGAGCAACCCCTAAGTTTGTCTTCTGACCTCCACATGTATGCCATGGCTCATATGTGTGTGTGTGCGCGCACACACACATACACACACACATATATACACACACACACATACATATACACACAGCTGTCACACCATACCAGGTACTCACAAAAAAATAATAAAAATAGAAACAAAGATATAACAGAAACTTAATTTTATATAAATTTGTATCCATCCATAGAATGAAATAAACAATTTCACTATTTTAAACTCATGTTCCACAAATGTCCAAGGCAAAGTCCATCAAAAATTGGATCTTAAGATAATTTATATAGAGAATGTGATTTGAATTTGTGAGGATATATAAAGACTGAAATAAATTTCCTAATATTGTTAACAGGACTCAGCTTCAGGTGGCAGGAATTTTCTACTCTAAATACTATCCAAATTTCTCTCATATAAGAAAAATAGAGAGAGAGAAAGCTATTTTTATAAGTTGGTCACTTTTACTTCCCCCACCCTCCAAAAATGTTTAAATAAATTCAAAGACTGTTTGGGGTCTGAGGCATGAGCTGAGCTCCCCCGGCTGTCATGGAGATCAGCTAGCCATCCATGCCTCTTTTGCCCTCACAGATCAACATGCTCCTCAACTTTCACCTTGGAGAGAACTGCCCCTGCCCGGAGGAGATCCGCGAGGAGCTGTATGACTTCCATGAGGACCTTCTGGTGCACTGTGGTGAGCGGCTGAGAGTTGAGCAAGAGCCCCAGCTTCCTTTATTAGAATGCCAGGGAGGGGTTGAGAAGTTACTCTTATGTCTGACCTTATGGTACCAATCGTTCAAAAGACACGTGTCAGAAAAGGTACAGGAAGTGTCTGTCCCTGGCAGAAGGGGAGACTGAAAACCGTTTGCCTGGAAGAATCTTTGTGAGGATACATAGAGGGAGTGGGGAGGTCTCGGGGGTGGAGGGGGGAATGACTGATTCTCCACCTCAGCCAATTCACTTTCAATGGTAATGACAGCATGTTCTTCCAACCAAGTCAAGACTTTGATCCCTTTTCTTTTTAGCTATCATGATACTTTTAAAGTGGGCATCAGTATTTTCTCTGAAGGTTTCAAAGCCATAGCTCCCTACTTTGATGCATATCTGCTGATTTTTAAGTGGGTGGTGGCATTTATGATTCTTTTATATGGATAAATGGAGTAATATGTAGACAAAAGCTGAGCTTCTCATTTGAAATAATAAATGTTAAAGTATTTCTAGAGACTCTAGAGTCCTTTTTAATATAGGTTAGAAAAAGTAAAGCCTTGGAATTAAATTTATTTGATGTTCCGAGACACAGAAAATTATATATTTTAGCAACTATTTGAAAAACATAACTCAGATAAATATTCTTGGGAGGCTGCCTATAATCTCTTGAAAATGTTTTAGAAGGTTGGGGATTTGCTTTATTGTGTTCTTCCTAACTCTTAAGGTACTGTTTGGATCTGCACTCTGTTCTGTGACTTGCTAGGGGTTCCCTTGGAGGAAGAAGAAGAGGAGGAGGAGGACACATCCTGGACAGGAAAACTGCGTGCTTTGGTGTATAAAATTAAGGGTCCACCCAAGCCAGAGAGGGAGCAACCAACAGAAGAAGAGGAACGGTATCCTAGTAAGTACCACTGACTTTCAATCATGCTACTCACAACTACATGCTCTTCTGAGATTTAATCGAGGTAACTGGTTCTCTGACACGTACGCTAAGACGTGTGGCGGCGGCTGTTTAATGCTAAAGCAAACATTGGGCATTGTGTTACTGCCCTTGTTGACAGGATTTTTTCTTCTCTACCTTTCCTGTGATTCAAAGAATTCCCTTTTGGAATTTTCTGACACCTGAGAGATCAACTATTTGGTATCTTCTCTTGTTGTCTGTCTACTTAGAAATCCTCACACAGACTCTGATCTTTCTTTCAACCTTTAAGTGTTGCTGGTTTCTGTCACTTCTGTTTGCGGTTACCTAAGCAAGGAAAACTACTCCAACCAAAGAAATTAAACAATAGTGAAACAGGACGTATAAAAGAAAGTAAAGGTCTCTTTTTTTCTCTAGTATGGTGTTGAGATCGCGACAGCCTGCGGTCTTTGACCTGTTCTTTAAGGATGGCAAGTACTGTCCCAATTCACTTCTCTCTTCTTTGCACAGGGGGTAACCTCAACCATTTGACCCATGTTGAAAGAAGAGCACTGACTTGCTTGACTGTCTCTAAATGAGTTAACATTTCAAGAGCCAGATTGTCTGAATATTCTATGTAATCAATCTGCTCCTTGCTACAGAGTTGGCAACTTTATCATTTGTCTAGAGAAGAAGAAATGTCCCAGGTTCAATGTTATTGCTTTTCATCTTCTTCCCTGTTCATATCTATCTTGGAAGACACTTTCAGATCACCTACTAAAGAAACAGACTGTCACGATATGATAGGTGCGTCTGGGAATACCACTTTAAGGGTTCACACATCTTATCACCCTCTCTATTAACCTTTCATCTTTGTCAGAATACCTCTGAGGGGAATAGATTATTCCCATTTATCAGATGAAGCCTCTGAGAGGATACATGGTAACAAGACTCTGCCAATCCTGCCGAGTCCTATCCTAGCACCAGAGAAAGGTTTTGGCTTTGAGGGTGAGCCAACTGGATTGTAGAGCCAAAAACTATAATAGAAATAAGTAAATAGAGACTCTCTTTGTGGTTACCACCAAAGAAGTACTGCAAATAGGTTGCATTGGCCTACATATCTCATATATCACCTGTTGAGAATTGATTCTGGAAGTGGATGCTTTTTTGGCAGAATGTTAGGAATACGGTTCCCACAAAGTGACCATGTCATATTAAGTGAATCAGGTCAGTCAGATGAAACCATTCATCATCTGCCTCTTTGGAATCTCACACTGAGGATGGGTTCAAACACCATGGCTTACTTCCGGTACAACTGCTCCTCAACGCTAAGGAAGACAGAGCATCTTCTGTCTGCTTGGATAGAGCATACACACCTGTCAGGCCTGTCACATGAGGCTACACGGGTTCACCATGCTCTCCTCCTCTCACATGTGGATTTATGAGACATCCAAATTGTTTTGTTTTGTTTTTTTTTTTAATTTTATTTTTCGAGACAGGGTTTCTCCGTAGTTTTTGGTTCCTGTCCTGGAACTAGCTCTTGTAGACCAGGCTAGCCTCGAACTCACAGCAATCCGCCTTCCTCTGCCTCCCAAGTGCTGGGATTAAAGGCATATGCCACCACCACCCGGCTGAGACATCCAAGTTTTGTGTCCTGAGTCTTCTAAGGTCTCAGAAATAAAGGAAATTGTCAATCAGTTCAAGCAACACTTGCTGTTATTATGTGGGCTCCCTGGAGAATGTCCCAAAAGCGTGCCTGGAATGATATTTTAAGATAAATTTTTGGAAGTTGTTCAATATGCCACCAGAGAATTATTTTTATTTGGATCATATGGAAACAATGTTTCTAAATGTACAGCCAACTGTAAAAATGGTTAAAATTTTATAAATTACTGGCAGCTTGTCCGTGTCACTACTTACATGACTTATCTTGACAAAATAATAAAAATTTAGGGGAATATAGTAAATTGACAATTTACCAAATATATCCACATATGCCAGTTACTAATGTTCCTAACAGATGTTAACTCTCTTCATTTTTCTCATTATTCAGTTGAGGGAAATAGGACTCAAAATAATCAAGAGATAGTAGTTCAATGATTCTGCCTTCCAGCTTGGATCCAGAATATTTTCCTGGTTACTGGTTGACACGAATCTTAGACAGCTAAATTAAGTGAAGCTATGACTTCACTCCAGGTGTCTACTCTTCCCACAGTGCCATGCGGTCTCCTTCATCTGAGACTAATAACTCTTGCAAGTGGTCATTTATGATGAAAGCCAGGACCTAATGCCATTCAGCATTTTGACACTGAAAAGTCGGTGTTGTCATAGATTTTGAACTGGAAATGGTCCAGGATGGTAGTGGCAACCCCTCCCCGAGATTCACTTCTATGAGCTGTTGATATGGATCAGATGGGCTCGGTAAAGAGAGAACAAAACCATTCTGAAGCTCATTTGAATGCTGCTAAGTAGTTCTGTGTTAGAGAGATTTGCTTAAATTAACTGCAAGCCAAGGCATCAGTGATTTGGAGAGACAAGTGCTACAGTATTATCAAAGGGCTATATGATAATGAAATGATATAGCAGCAGCCCACCATTCCAGGTCACATTTTTATGTCCCTGTCTGGGAGCCCTTGCGCACTAAGGCTGGATTGCAAACTCCAGTTAAAACAGGATTTCCTTAAATATAAATGTATAGCCGTGGCAACTGAGCTATTTCTCCAGAGGAGATCAAACAGCTGTTTCTCTTGAGTTCTCAAGTTACAAAAATGAAAAACAGCTATCATATTTTACAAATGAAATGGGATGCATGTATGCCTTCTCCATGGGAGATGTTTTTCTCGTCTTCTCTCTATGAAGAAATATCCCAAGGATATTATGCTCTCAAGCAATGCAAGAAAGGAGACAGAAACCCCTGCTGACATTAGAGACCTTGCATTGATCCACTGTGATTCAGCTGTGGCGAGCAGTGTTAGGAACTGGATGTAGGAGTGGGTCTGTCTAAAGGAGGCAAACTGCACTCTATTCTCGGTCTGTGCTGTGTGCACAAACTCTGCCTCTTGCAGAGCTGAGCTGACTGTCTCATCCCTGAGACACACGTGCTTCCTCTGCTACTCTTCTGATAAAGACCAGTGGTGTCCCTAGAGATGATGACAAATCCATCAAGTCCCAAAGCTGCTACTTGGGGAAGCTTGTACCTTGTCACTGAATGGTATAACAGCTCTAGGCCAAAACTCTCTCCAGGAACACTACAGCTTGTTTATGAATACTACTGGCAGAGAAAGTGTTCTTGTATTTACAATCAGACTAAGTCCTGGCCTCTGGGTACAGAGGAATGCCAAGTAAGATCACCATGTCACTGGTAGTGGCTCTGTGGGTTGAGAATTTAGAAATTTTAGATAGTTATTCTAATGATGATGCAGGTGACATCTTTAGACTCATTTTCTAAATACTCTCCAAATGGCAGTTCCTTAAGACAGACACACCCACACATACGTACATACACACACACACAAACACACACATACATACACACACACACCACATACACACACAAACACACACATACACACACACACACACACACCACATACACACACACACATACACACACAGCAGGGAGAGAGTTGGTCCTCCTCTGTGTAGTCTTTCTACTAACTTTGTTCCCCTCCCTCCTACCCCAACATATCATGTAAACTCCAATAGGACACACGTGACTTCCCTTTTATGTGGGTCTTTTTTTTTTTTTACCTTTTCTCACTGAGTCTTAATGTGGAATTTTTTCCTATATTCATTCCATTGACCTAAACATCATTTTTACCTATAACTACAAATTAGTCAGCTAAGGCTCACAAACATGGAAAGTGGGTCCTTGGATATAAAGGGTAGAATTGGGGGTGGATAGATAACTCTTCTAGTAATGAGGTTGGGTTGTGATATTAAACTACAGACAAAAACACACTCCATGGCCAGAGGAGGGCTTGGAAGTGTTGAAAGAGTGTGAATGGGTAGATAAAATAGGAAAGAAAAGCATTTTGTTGGAAATGCTGCTAAAAAAAATGCCAAAAGACAGAAAAGTTTGGGCTGAGTCCAGGCAGGGCAGCAGGTTAGGGTGGCTGGATTCTACAGGGGGCAGAATGGGATGTGGTGGGGGTGTAAAGTGATTGAACACTGTGCCTCAAAGGATTGCTAACAAAACCGAGTTCATCAGTACAGCGTTCTCATTTGCTGTATAAAGCTTGGTCCTGGAATTGCAGAGCTGGAGGGTTCAGCAGGCATGTGGCACTCACTTTACCCTGTGTCTATTGCTTCTCTCAATAGCAATATACAGTGTACAGTCTCATTCCTATTTTATAGTTAAAGAAACTGAAGTAGAGACAAATTATCCAAACCACACAGGGGTGGCATTGATCTTCATATTGATATTCCTATATGTAATAATTACATAGAAGTATCATATCTCCAGTAAACAGTGACTGTGAAAGTTTCCTAAAACTAACTCCATAGTTTGCGCAGCAGTAGTGAGGTGGTTATGCTGTACAGGGCTCTGGAGTTAGGCAGCCTGGTCTTAAAGTCTAGTTCTGCCTCAGTTCTGTAAGGTTGAACACGTGGCGACTTTGTGCCTCCGCTTTCTTGTCTGTAAAATGAGGACAGATCAACTACCTACCTCACTGGGTCACTATAAAAGCTAAGTTATTTAGCAAATGCAAAGTGTTTTAAAGTGTATCTGGCACAGTGTTTAACATTGATTGGTTTTGGCCCCTAGAATAGTTGGTGATTACCTACCATATTTCAGGCACCGTTCCGGGCACCAGTGAAATTTGTTTCAGAAAATGTCAAGGATTTCACTCATCCCTGCTGCAGGGAGACATTGGAGCCATGGAAACAGAAATGCTCCGGGTGAAGCAACTTGAAGTGGGGCAGACAGTACCATGTCTCAAGTGATATCAACAGGCCGTGTACAAACATGGAATGTACAAATACGTTGAAGGGAAAAGGAAAAC